CTATTGCTTGTATTCCTGTGTGAAAACTAACCCACAACAACAAAGAATTCATGTTGTTACATATGGTGTCAGAAGTGGGATGTTATGCCTTTTGGCCTAGTAAATTCAACAGCAACATTCTCCAGATTTATGAGAATAATGCTGGCAGATATAAAGAATGTCGTACATTTTGTAGATGACATATGTATTCATTCTAAGGATATCAAGACACATATGCAGTCAGTTAGAGAGGTACTAACAAAATTAAGGGAGCATGGCGCGACTATTGCACCTGAAAAGTTAAAATTTGCAAATGAAGAAATGGATTTTTTGGGATTCAAAGTAGGCAAAAATCAAATTAGACCTACTGACGGAAATAAAAATAAAATTCTCAACTTAGAAATACCTAAAACCAAGAAAGAAGTCAAAGGTGTATTGGGTCTATTTAATTTCTACAGCAAATTCATACCCAAGTACTCAGATATAACTCTACCTCTAAGACAGCTAATTACCAAGGACAGCAGTAGAACAATAAATTGGTCTAAAGAATGTCAGGATGCTTTACAGCTAATAAAGCAGTACTTTGAACATGAAGTAACGCTTACTGCCCCTAACTTTGAGAAGACACTAACACTGGTAACGGATGCTTCAAATTATGGATTGGGTGCATGTTTAATGCAAGAAGTGGACAAGGTACTACGGCCTATATTTTATCTGAGTAGGTCACTAAACAAAACGGAACAAAACTACTCAACTGTGGAGAAAGAATGTCTGGCCATTGTATGGTCCATGACCAAACTGCAGAAATATCTATTAGGAAGAAAATTCATTCTCCTCACCGATCACAAGCCATTGTTAGCTATGAACAACAAACGGATAGCCAACAGCAAGATAAACAGATGGTTATTGATTCTGCTGGATTTTCAGTATGAAATTAGGTCTATAAAAGGGAAGGATAATGTAGTAGCAGATTTTTTGTCTCGGCAAAATGTTGACAGTACAGAAACTGAGCCTACCCTAAACCACATTAGTCAACATTTATAAACCTATTCTATACTATTAATTAACAGTGAATAAAGTAAATCAAGTAAAAGTTAGAGACTATTTATTCCGCATAACAATAAGACGGAAGTCTCAATGATGAATTGTATTAGTCGATACCTGTGAAAGGCAAGAATGTTGTGTTGTGACCTAGATATGACTGAAATGGGTCGACTAGGGGAGACAATAAGGTATATTACTTATGTGTAGTAATAACATGCCTTGATGATAAGGTTGTTTTACTACATAGGATATAATTATTTAATTCATGTCTTTAAGTATTTTAACTATGTGTTATGTTTTGGAATTAAGTCCTGTACCAAATTAGTTTGGTATATTATTTATCCCAACTGATGTAGTTTTTTTACAGTTACTGGGTAATTGAAATGTTTTTTTTCTCCTATGTGAATGTATATTGATGCATTAAATATTACATATAATGCTTGTACATTTAAAGTTTTTGTTCAAAACACTGACATATTTTAATTATCACTGATATAGTCACTATATACTGTTGTATTTGTATGCACTATAAATTTATGACTACAAGTGCTTAGTCTAAAATGAATATATTTTACTCTACTTTGAATTGTACACAATTTTTTGTTGTCTGGCACATGATCCTGCCCTACTAATATTGTATTTATAAATTTTGTTACACAAAATTTTATTCGAAGGGGGGACGTGTCACAGACTGTATTATTATGTATCTTTATTATATTGTGTTTTGCATGAATGAAGAGTACCTGGCTAGCGGAAGGACTGTCTGAGCGATCGTCATGTGTTTTTTCGGTGCCCTGTCAAAACGGCCCGGGACAAATCGGCCCCGTCAAAACGGCCCCGTTAATACGACCCCGTCAAATCGACTCCCGACAAACCGACCCCGTCAAAATAGCCCCGTCAAAAGGGCCCCGACTTATTGGCTCCCGTCAAATGGGCTCCCGTCATATTGACTTGCGACATATAGGCTCCCGACAAATGGGCTCCCGATATTTAGGCTCCCGACAAATGGACTCCCGACATATTAACCCCTGACAAATAGGCTCAGGACATATTGGCTCCCGACAAAGCGGCTCCCGACATATTGGCTCCCGACATAAGGGCTCAAGACAAATGGGCTCCCGGCAAATGGGCTCACGACATTTTGGCTACCGACAAATGGGCTCCCGACATATTGGCTCCCGGCAATTGGGCTCCCGACATATTGGCTTTTAACAAAATGACTCCCGACATATTGGCTCCAGAAAAATGAATGATATGACCACTCTTGGCATAAAAGTAACTTTTAATGCCCGAATGAAATTATTTTTTCATGAACCAACATTAATTCACAAACAAATCGAGCCCTTAACAGCTAAATTCCACCAATTCTAAAGTTTTGATAATGTTTAATTTACAACAGCAAAGATCTGTTGCTTAAAAGCGAGCACAGAAGTGTAAATGTATGATATACATGATGTTAACATGATAACAGCATTTTGTTTTGATAACCTACAAGCACAGTGGCGTAGCGAGGTCGGGTGTCACCCCCGGGGACAAACTTTCAAGTTTGCGATTTGCACCCCCCCCCCAAACTTTCGATTTGCACCCCCACCCCCTCAACTTTTTCTCTATATATTTTGCTTTTTTTTTGCCTTGGTGTCACCCCCCTAAATGGTGTCACCCGGTGCGGTCCGCAACCCACCCCCCCCGCCCCCCCCCCCTCCCCCCTCTCGCTAGGCCCCTGTACACGCATATTGCAGTTAGGAAGGTACAGCGTGGACCCTTCTCCACACACAATGAGTTGGAACAGCCTATAACCGACTCAATTATGGATGTCATAGATAGATGACCCTTAAATTAAAACATACTATATTTTATAATAGATAAACTAATATAAAAGTAAGGCCTGCCGAACAAGAGATGCACACGTTGTATTACATAAGAGTGTTGGATAAGCTAACTCTAAAGAATATTGATGAAGGGGTCCCACTGGCAGATGTCATATTCAATGAGACCGCTTTGCCGGGAGACTTAGTCTCTACAGAAACGGTATTGTCAGTGCAGTGGCGTAGCTAGGATTTTTGGGCCCCTATGCAAAAATTATCAGTGGGCCCCTTCGTCAGCCGTTAGGCCAGTGGCGTCGCTAGGTCGGGTCTCACCCGGTGCGGCACTTCGTATTGTCACCCCCTCCCAGGAAACAAAGCATATATATATATATATATATATATATATATATATATATATATATATATATATATATATATATATATATATATATATATATATATATATATATATATATATATATATATATGTGTGTGTGTGTGTGTCGGCCTACATAGGCCTAAAATTTATATATATGCCACATACTGGTACACGTACGTGTTTAAGCATTAATCACTGCTGACTTAATAGTAACGATGTTTATCTACAGTCTGTTTATAATATAGTTGGATGTAGCATTGTTTTCTTTATAGTTTACGTTTACGTCGTGGTGTCACACCCCCCCCCCCCCCCCTCTTGATATAATTTTCGATTTGTACTTAGAAGACTATTTAACTTTAACTAATGGATCAGGAAAATGGCATTTCATTCTATAAATTTTACAATTTTTTGCCTTTGGTGTCACCCCCCCCCCTAAATGGTGTCACCCGTTGCGGTCCGCACCCCCCGCCTCGCCTTCGCTACGCCTCTGCGTTAGGCTACAGAGGAGTTAAACTTTTCGGAACTTTTAACCTTTTTCTTTTTTAAAATTATTTATATGTAACAAATATTAAAATTCCATTGTAAAAGTTTAAATTTTTTATGAGGGAAAAGGGCCCCTATGTGCCTTGGGCCCCCATGCCTTGCTTACGCTAGCTTTACGGTAGCTACGCCACTGTGTCAGTGGTCCTTTTGTCTGGAGCCAAATTGACAGGAGCCTTTTTGTCGGGAGCCAAAATGACGCTAGCCTATTTGTCGGGAGTCGTAATGACGGGGGCCGTTTTGTGGAGAAACTAAATGGCGGGAGCCTATTTGTCGGGAGTCGAAATGACCGGGGCCGTTTTGTGGAAAAAACTAAATGACGGGAGACTATATGTCGGGAGCCAAAATGACGGGAGCCTATTTGTCAGGAGCCTTATTGACTGGAGCCCTTTTGTCGGGAGCCTATATAACTGGAGCCTATTTGTCGGTAGCCTAAATGACGGGAGCCTATTTGTCGGGAGCCTATATGACGGGGTCCATATGTCGCTGGCCCTTTTGACGGGGCCGATTTGACGGGGTCGTTTTGACGGGGTCGTTTTGTCGGGGTCGTTTTGTCGGGGTCGTTTTGACGGGGCCGTTTCGTCATTGGCCGAATTGACGCCGCACGGTTTTTTCATGTTTTTGGGTGAGATCGCTCATGTACGTAAGGGGAGAGAATGGACCGGATAAAAGGGAGAGCAAAAGGTGAACGGGTGTTGTGTGCTAGGACTTGGGACTTGAACTGTGGCAGTGAATGTAAGATGTCTCCATGACTTGGAGTCGTGACTGTGACTGTACTTGTTGAGTATCTTCTAATATGGATTTACCATGAATAACCATGGATTTATCATTCTCACTGTATATAGTGTAAATAAAGTCATCATTTGAAGTTGCCACTATTGCTTGTATTCCTGTGTGAAAACTAACCCACAACAACAAAGAATTCATGTTGTTATATATATATATATATATATATATATATATATATATATATATATAATGATGGAAAATTTGAACCCCCCCCCCCCATGAGACAATCCTGGCTACGCCACTGTGTCTGTGTGTTTTGTGGGTCGACCACTGCCCCAACACTGCCACTCCACCGTACCACACGTAGTGGCCTACACATTATGGAACCTGTCATAGGCTTCGCGCCAATAAACACCAATCTGGGTCTCTGTTCTACGGCACACAGCAGACGTCACACACCAAGATTTAGGGCTCTGCTAGTGTTGCCGTGATAAAACCCCGCTGTGCTGGTACCCAGGTCAGAGAATGTTTTCGTTTTAAATAGTGGTGAAAATTCTGGTTCACGTGTATTACTACTGTGGCCGGCATATTACTCGTGTTCATGTTTTGTTAAGCACGACATACTATAGATGTTTGTTATGGAGGGTGTTGTGTTACTCGCTGCATTGAAATAACTTTGCCATGAGCTAAGTTCTCTGTCAATTTTTTTTTAAAGAGGCGAATTTTTTTTAAAGTTGTTTACGGGGACACACAAAACGGTGGGTTTTTATTATTTATTTATTTAATTATATTTCAATATATTTGTATGGGAATTGGTAAGCTATAAGGTATTCGTGAAAAGTATCAAATAAAAACCTCAAAAATATAATTCTTTTAGTGCAATTATAGAAGCTTTTACAAAAAAAAATATGACAAATATTTTATTTTAGATACAATGCATAGGCATACAATGTTTTTTATTGTACTTTAAGGAAACAATTCCTCAAATTTCTCTGAATTTGAGGTATGAGTCTTGTTAATGTGGATAATTAATTTATTTTTTAAGATACATTGACAAAAAATTGTCATATTGTTTAGTATATCATTGCTCGTATCTGTGCACAGTTTCATTGACATTTATAACCTAAATTTTATTTTTTTATTTATTTTTGTTGGTGTTAATTTGCATAATTGTAACAAAATCACACCCTGTGGTCGATAAAAGTAAAAAGAAAACTTTTAAAAAACTTACTTATGTTTTTTTTTTGTCTTTGAATTGTTATACTATCGGTATACATATTTGTGGCTGAAATTTAAGGATCTTCAAAAAAAGGGTCTAGGGATAGAGGATCCCCTTAACCCGATAGTTTTATTCATCAATTCAGTTGACGAATCCAAACAAAACAACCAAGCTGGGCCACAACTCCTCCATTCCCGCCAACAAAGTTGTGAATTCACCCAAACAATATAATTACCTACCCCTTCAATACACCCCTTCCCCCGAAGAGATGCCTGAAAGTAACACTGCTTCCATACCAGTGGCGGAACTAAAAAACAGGGGCCACCCCGCAAAAAATTTTTTTAGGCCCCCCCCATATAAATATATAGGCCTATATATGTATATATGTGTGTATATATATATATATATATATATATATATATATATATATATATATATATATATATATATATATATATATATATATACTCAAACACAACATACGAACATAGGATACTTATTCATGCTGGCCTGTTCGTGTTATGAGAAATACGTGTTTTTTTTTTATTAAAACAAATTACAACATCATGTCATGAGTGTAAGTCGTAAGTGCATTAGTCTGTTTTGTGAAAATCAGTTTTATATTATCTCTGCCGTACGACCTTTAACCTCCTATCGGTCAAAAGAATATAAAACATGAAAGCTTTCTGTAAATAATGGTTTCTCGTGTCATGTTTATTTTTATGTTTTTTTTTACTTATTTTATTAATTTTAAATACATTTTCTTTTTATACAGTGTCATTCTTTAGTAAATAATTTATAAACAAATAATAATAAAGAGAAGTAATTGCTTTTTAATTTGTTTAGTACAAATCTATTAAAAATGAGCATCAATATTTGACTATTTAAAAAAGGGAAATAAGTCATGGAAGTGGTTTGAACGTTTGCTTATCTTTCATAAGTTTCAATGTAGGAGAAAGACGACTCGGCTTTCACGGTGGTTTAAAAACGAAGGAAAAATGAGCGTGGGGTGGTGTCTATAGAATAAAGATTATCCAACCGCAGCCACGGTAATCTTTTTTACAAAACAAACATTAAGTCAAAAATGCAAGAACATTTTTTTAACTATAACAATTTTTTTTATGGTCGGCCGTGGGCCCCTAAATGGCGTGCCCCCCCCCCCCCCCCCCCGCATTGCGGGGTCTGGCGGCACTGTAGTTCCGCCCCTGTTCCATACGCGTGTATTCACCACGGTGCGATGCTTGAGTGTATAGGAACTTTATTCAGCTCCAACCTGATGAACAACAGTTCACAATTTTTAATGTGCCGGTCTTATCAGTTAAACCCCCCATAGACCCCTCGATATATATATATATATATATATATATATATATATATATATATATATATATATATATATATATATATATATATATATATATATATATATATATATATATTTTGAGGGGGTGCAAATCGAAAGTTTGTCCCCGGGCGCCGGAAAGGGTCGCTACGTCTCTGATATATATATATAATGCTGGAAAAAAATTGACCCCCCCCCCTCCATGAGATGATGCTGGTTACGCTACTGCACTGCGTTACAATATACTTTTGAAATCCGACGATTAATCAGGTGAAGTAGAGCATATCTGTTTCTCAGGACATTTTATATGATAGAAAACGGTGGCTGGAATAACGATGATTGGAGAATCTTTGGAACTGTTTCCATGTAATCTCCACTCAACAGCTTGAGTTAGACTGTAATGCTTTATACACAAGCCTTTTGTCGAATGTCGACTACGAAGATTCTCGAATAGGTCTACATTTAAATAATGTTTCATTAATTTCATCACATAGCCGAATAGGTCTACACCAAATCTCTATATCTTTTAACTTTTTATAACATTTATCATTTAACATTTTTATATAGTTTTGTTTATTCAACATACCCATTGTTTTCAAATAATTTTTAACTTGTATCTATTGCTTTCAAGGGTAGAAGATGTTCGTCCAGATTATCCTCCTTTGGAATTTGGTTACACTGGCATTTTCTGGCCAAGAAAGACTCGTGGTGCAAGCGCCCGTTGGAAAAATCCTGGGACTGAAAGAAACTGCCGTCAATGGAAAAATGTTTTGGTCGTTTAGAGGGGTCCGGTACGCCAAACCTCCACTGGGTCACCTCAGGTTCGCCAAGCCGGAGCCCTACGTCATCCAGGGTAAGTTGGGGGGGGGGGGGGGCTTAAAACAAGAGAATAAGAATACATTCAGAGAGTAGGCTAGTCTAGTGTTATTTCTATTGCAGTTTTTTTTTTACTATCTGGTAAACGGAGTATAGAGGAAGTATTGTGATCTTGCTAGAAATTGAAATCGACATTTTGACAAATCTCGATGTTTTACGCGTCCCTGAGTAGGAAAAATTTAGTTTTGCAATTTTGTCTGTGTATGTGTTTTCTCACGAAAAACGAGTGGTTTATTCGTTATTTCTATCGCTCAATTGCTCTGGAAATGCTACCCCCCCCCCCATCCCACACACACTTTACTGTTGTATACGAGTATACTAAAAATTTAGGGGAACTCACTTCTGCTTTATTTTCCTTTTAACTTAACAGTAGTGTATGCTTTGTCATCAATAAAAATACATGGAAAAATGTAAATGAATTTAATCAAGAACCGTATTATATTTTGTACACACACTTTTATATTATTACTAAAGAAACTTCTTAATCACAGCTCGTGTTTTTCATTTTATTTATATAACCGACCCGTAGGTCTATTTCATCATGAAGATCAGTTGGCCTGCATTTTTTAATTGGTCATTTATTCAATTTAGAAGATTAACTCTCCTTAATAGGGCATAATCAGAGTTTCTTCCAGGCATCTCTTCGCTCTGCCCCCCCCCCCCCGAAGAAACTCTACCGCTCCGCCCCCCCCCCCCACCCGCACGAAATGGAATGTACATAGAAAATATATACTTTTAACAGTGTCCGCCCCCCCCCCCCCCTCCCGAAAATTCAAGTGCCGCCCCCTGTCCCCGGAGAAAAAGTCTGGAAGAAACACTGGGCCTAATAATACATATACACCACTACTTCTTATTATAGACCAATGTTTATGGACTTGATGGCAGATGAAGTAGAGTTCATATGTTTTTGTGAATTCGGCATACGAAGTGATTGTATGGACATTCCTCATAACTTACCAAACTTGAGTCAGGTACCCACGAGAGCTGGGTGGACTCAGGGGCTCGGGTCCGGAGACCGTATTCGACTTTCAGCCAAGCTGCCGTGTGGTCTGTTGCCCGACCATGCCGATACTTCATACAGGCCAATAATTCTTAATACAAACCAGTAGCGTAGCGAGGGGGGGGGGGGGGCATATGTCCCCTGGCGCCGAGCTTAGGGGGCGCCAAAATGGGTTGGAAAAATAAATTGAAAGGTTGAGGGGAGCGCAAATCGAAAGTTTGAGGGGGGTGCAAATGGAAATCTCGAAGGGGGGTGCAAATCGAAAGTTTGAGGGGGGTGCAAATGGAAATCTCGAAGGGGGGTATAAATCGAAAGTTTGAGGGGGGGGGGGGGGGTACAAATCGAACTCTCGAGGGGGGGTGCAATCGTAATTTTGAAAGTTTGAGGGGGGTGCAAATCGAAATCTTGAGGGGGGGGGGGGGGATAAAACGAAAAGTTTGTCCCCGGGCGCCGGGAAGGGTCGCTACGCCTCTGATACAAACCAAAACTTCTTAGTAGGCCCAAATACCATTATTTGTCTTGTATGCCATATAGTACTATAAAGACAACAATTCTTTTATCAACTGTTCTGTTTGTACTTATAGAAGAAATCTTCGACGCCACAGCTGAATGTGCTGCTTGCGTGCAATCCGAGTTACTGCCTTTGATGAAAAAGAACACATCCGAAGACTGTCTTTTCTTAAATATATTTTCTACGAATCCCCAAAATATCCAAGGTCAATTAAAAAAGGTCATGATCTGGATTCACGGAGGTGGTTTCATTTTCGGTTCTGCGAGTGAATATCATCCCGGAAGTTACGTCACGGATCAGGACGTCATCGTCGTCGCGATGAACTACCGGCTTGGGGTTCTGGGATTTTTAACAACGGAGAACGAAGCAAGTTCAGGTAATTATGGTCTCTGGGATCAAATCCTTGCTATCCAGTGGGTGAAGAGCAACATCGCGGCGTTTGGCGGCGACCCAGACGACATCACGATTGCGGGGGAGTCTGCCGGGGCGGCGGCCGTCTCCATTTTATCGTTAAGCTCAGTCACAAAAGGACTTTTTACCAAAGCTTACATGCAGAGTGGGACTGCATTAACTCTGTTAAATAGACCTAAGGAGTCAACTCGTCACGCACTGAGAGCGGCGAAATTTTTAAACTGCTGGGATAAACCAGACGACATAGACATTGATTTAGCCACCGGAAACTTCATCGTCGACTGCCTACGTAAGCGTTCAGCTAGCGAGATCGCCAATGTCCAAGTGATGATTGGTACAAAAATTGTTTTCGTGCCCTATATAGATGGTGTTATAATCCCGAAATCCCCAAGTCAGTTGCTGCAAGACTCCGTATATTTGACAGCAATTGGATTCCCACAAAGGAAATACCTCATGGGTATAAACAACAACGAAGCGAGCCTTGGGGACATTCTTCTGCTTGTGCCCAGACAATTCATTTTCAATCAAAACAACACAACAGCGGAAGAGAAAGACAAAAACTGGCACGATTTTATCGTCAGCTCAACCAGAGATTTCATATCACAACGGTTAGAAGCAGACGATATTTCAGAAGATCTTCTGCGCCAAGTTTACGGTTGGTATGACGCACGATACGGCGCGCAATCAGTTTTTGTACAGTTGGCAGTCGATGTCAATTTTGTCCTGCCCATGTTTGATATCCTGAACACCATTTCAAGTCTGGGATCTGAAGGGCGGTTGCTGTATTTCAACCACTACCCCCGTTACATGAAGGGCGCTTACAGGGGCACCCCGCACGCTTTGGACATTGCCTACCTGTTTGACATGCCCGTGGACTGGATCAAGAGAATCACCGGTGATCAAAATGGAGGCGTGTTTGAGGAAGAGGATGAGAAGCTTAAAAAACTGTTTTCGTCAGTCATCGGGGACTTTGTTAAAACAGGGTAAAAAAATTTAATTCATTTTATGTAGGCTTTGTAGTTAAAAAGTTAAAAAAAATAATAGTACACTATACTATAAAAAAAACTATGATCGATCAAGTTTATGTGTGTGCTGTTGATTCATGTTGCTGCTGAAATGTGTGTTTTTTGTTGTTGTAAATATTGTAATTATTGTAGAGTAGATCTAAGCTGTTTCTGAGTAAAAACCCATTTTGAGTTTTTTGGCTAACAAGTTATCGACTTATTTTGTGTTCATTACTTATTATTCATTATTTGATCATCATATTACATTTTAATTTTATATCTCAAGACAATCATTTTTCTATTACTATCTATTTTTCAAGCAACCCAGAAATAGCCACACGTCACGGTATTACAGAAGGTTGGCCAAGTTATGATCCAGTAGGTGATTACTACCTAGAATTCAACCTTGAGCCTTCCATTAAAAAAAACCTGGCAAGGGATGTGAGAAAGTTGTGGAGTAAAGAAATACCAGCTGGGCTCAAACAACACCAACACACGCACGGAGAGCTTTAGATAATATTTAGAACGTACATGTATTAAGGGGTCGTCCATAACAGTTTCTTCCGGGCATCTCTTCCCCCCCCCCCCCAAAATTTCAAGTGCACCCCCGGAGAAAAAAGTCTGGATGAAACACTGGTCCATAAATGACGTCACATGCGTAGGGGGAGGGGGGGGGGGGGGGTCGGTAATTTTGTGACGATGTGTGATGACGGGGAGGGGGGGGGGTCAGATGGTGCGACGTCACACTTTTGCATTATAAAAAAGAAATGTTAGAAAACGAATTTTAGACGTTATTTCGCGTTTTTAGAAAACTGTTTTAATAAATTATAATAGGAATTGATTAAAATACTCTATTTTGAAAGATTTCAGACAATATTTTGGAAAAATATCGATGTTTAAAAAAAATTCAACTGCAATTTTGAGGGGGGTTGTAGGCTGAGCTGTGACGTCATTTTAGCGGGGGGGGGGGGGTGTCTGACTTTTTGTGACGACGTGTGACGGAGGGGAGGGGGGAGGTAAAAATCGTCCAAAAAAGCGTGACGTCATTTATGGATGACTCCTAAAGTGTAAATTTGTTAAAACTAGCTTTACACTTATTTTGTAAATGCAGTCGTTAAGGCTTTTTAAAAAAATTATTAATTTTTTACATATTTTTATAAACACACAATTGTCAATTAAATATGAAATACAAAGAAGGTTAGAAAATGCAGATTAATAATGTTTTTAACATACGAAGGAGTAATAAGGCCTAACATGTGTGGATATACAAAAAGATAACATAACAATTACAAAAGGGCAACCTAAGCATTTTAAGATAATCTTTTATTCCCTCTTGAGAATATTTGTAATGCGTGTTAGTATTGTTACTGGCAATGCGAGAAACCGTTATTTTTACCGAGTGCCTAGGCTTAGGCAATTTGAAGTATAAGCTCGATTAAGCCCCTCCATCTGTATGTTAGAACTACGAAGGCTTTTCGATTGTTAGATATAAGGGGGTCGGCGTGGTCGAGTCGTTAGAGCTCATGGTTGCTAAACCGAAAAGCCTTGAGCTCGTACTATCGGGTAGGAGACGGAGACCCCCCGAAGAAAGTCTATCGCCCCCCCCCCCCCCCGAACGAGATGGAATTTATATAGTAAACATACACTTTTACTAGTGTCCGCCCCCCCCCCCCCCCGAAAAATGTCGACCGCCCCCCCCCCGAAAATATCAAGTGCCCCCCCCCCCCCCCCCCCCCCCGAGAAAAAAGTCTGGAAGAAACACTGGGTTGAAATCAGAGTAAACGGGCCTATATGGTGCAAAACAAGTTGACACGTATACTTATTTACGTTGGAGGGAATCTCTTCCATCACCAAAATTAAGAACGCAGAAGAAGAAGTTAGATCTAAGTCAATTCTTAGTATCCCATGTCAGTTAAGTGTATGTTATTCAAAATTGCTTTTGATGTCTATAACTAATTGAACTGTTTGTTGAACAATGTAGCTTTCATAGATATATTGCCATGCTGTGTTTTATGATAAATGATAATTAATGATAAAATTGTGATGTCAAATTATGTGCTTGATATATATTAAACAATAAACCACGCAAGATTTGAATTTAATCTTTCTTTTGACAAAAAATACATAATTATTTTTTTCTACAATCAGTTCGAAACCAATTACAATGATTAAAATAATCAAGCTTAAATTTAAACCTTTAAATGTTAATTAGTCAGTTTTTGCTGAGACTGTATTCTACTATGAATCACCAAAGAACAACTGATATTGAATAGTGTAAAAAGTAATTTGTAGGTTGAAAAAAAAATTAATAGATCTATAAAACAGTAAGGGTTGTGATGACTCTTCCATTGTAATCGAGCTCTAGAAATGTAGATGTGACAAAACTGTCCATATTTCAAGAAAACATACTGAATTTTAAAAAAAATTATCAGAGAATTCTTTGTGAGTATATACAATCAAAATCAAATTCTGAAGATGTCCTCACGGAGATAAAAATAAATTACCGCCACGTTTAGCGGAAATCGTTCAATAGGTGGTATAGTCCTACCTGTGTAAATGATTTAATACTTACATGTGAAACATCGTCCACCTGACTTAAATGGTACTCAAGTTATCGGTTTTTGTGAAACCAGAAATAGATTAAGTACTACATCCGGTTATCGGAAATCGCTAAAAATTTATAGAAAAGTACCATTTTGAAATAGAGATCTAATACTTGAATATGAAATTTCGTCAACCTAAATGAAACGGTACTCAAGTTATCATGTTTATACACACATACACATACATACATGTAAACTAATTTTTATTTTACTCTGTGCGATGTTAAACGTCGAAAATAGTCAAAATGTTGTTTTTTGCTTTGCATGTTTACAATACCTCTATACTTCATATTTAAAACAGTATTGATTCGCAACACTCGAAACATTGTGTGAAAACTGCTTTAGTTATTTTTTAAATGTGTCTAATTAGAACATTCCTTCATTTCCAGAGGTCTTTAAAAAAATAAATTGGGCTGGCCATTTCTCAAGAATCAAACCTTAAACTTAACCCCCTCTCCCCCCCCCCCCCCCCTTTCCCCACACACACACACTAATACTAGTTTAAATATTTACTACGAAGATAGGCCTAGCTATAGATACATTTCTATGTCTCTATTGAGACATTTATTTAAATCTTTCATATAGTACAATCAACTACTTAAAACAGAATAAAGCATTTTTTTCAAAGGCATAGGCTAGCATCTAATTATTCTAGAGCTAAATTTTAGTTTAGATCAAAGTAAGTTGTTAAAAATTTAACACTGACAATTTTTTGGTACATTAATCTGGCCATTTTTCAATAATCAAATAAGGAAAATGGCTGCTCCCTCAGTAAACGTAAGTGTTGAAGCAGCTATAGAACACCAAATTCAAGAAGTTAGATATGATGGGGAGGAGGTATATGTCACGTAAGTATTAAGGATTTCTAGATCTAGTCTCCTACGAAATAAATACACTAAGTTGCCTAAATTCTTTAATAATAGGATTCTGATTCTGGATAATCAACATCACACAATAATAGATTTTCTCATTGCTTAGATGGCTGGATTGACCTCTGACCCTGAAACGTCACGCGTCGTTTTCTGACGGTTTTTACGTTTATTTTAGGGGTCCTATACACGACAAATGAAAAAACTGCTAATCTCGCTAATTCTCATCATTATTTTAATGAGACATGCTATATAAATGGACGCCATGCCTGAAAATGGCCGAAAAAATAGCCAGATATGTGGTTTTAATTAATACATGCTATTCTTGTCGAGTACTCTTGGGAAAAACTGAACTGTCGCTTTAAACGGCCCAGCACTCGGTCGAAACCCCCCGGCACAGAAGTAGTAATATATAATTGAGATATTTATAATGAGTAATTACAGTTATGTTGATTCGCCTATTTTATATCGAATTTCCATATGAGGTACCCATGCAGACATTTCTGTCCGCTTTGTTTACTATCGTGACGTCATTGTTACGCTAGTTACCTCACAGAAACAACTCGTTTTTGTTTTTTGCGGAATGAACTGTTAAGTCTAGTATTTTAATTATAATTCAATTGTAGCGTGTGCAGAAAAAGTAAAATTATGGAAATTATTTTTGTATTAGTAATTTTATTAGTATATTGATTTTTTCTTCACTGTGGGCCGACAGTAGCTGCATTGAATTTAATTCGTGACCGGTGGTTAACCTCGTCAACGCTGCGTGGCCTATTCGTTTATATAATTAGTGATGCTCGTTCAGTGGCCTTTTTCAGAGCTAGGCCTAATTACGGGCGTTTTTTAGACTTAATTGATCGGCCGTTAGCCCTTTTCATTGCTGCGTATTTAAAAAAATGCTCGTTCAGCGGCCTTTTTTTTTGCGCTAAATAATCTGTTTACGGGCATTTTAAGCGTTTATTTATTTTTTTAAGCTAGACGTAGATCTAGTTTAAAAAATATTTTTTAATACAGCTGGCTGCAGGGGGGGGGGTGCAAATCGAAAGTTTGAGGGGGTGGGTGCAAATCGAAAGTTTGAGGGGGGGGGGTGCAAATCGAAAACTTAAGGGGGGGGGGGGTGCAAATCGAAAATTTGAAAGTTTGTCCCCGGGAAGAGTCGCTACGCCTTGGGGGGGGGGGGGGGGGGGGCTGACACCATTAAGTGCCGCACCGGGTGACACCCGACCTCGCTACGCCACTGGCTGGCTGTCTTGCATGCCTGATATGTGAACTTAAAAAAAAAAAATTACCGAACTTTAAAAAAAAATGACCAGAAGTAGGGAAGTAGGTCTGTTTTTCAATTGGCTAGAGGGAGGGGGGGGGAAAGAGAGAGAAGTGAAGACACCGACCATCTCGTGTACGCGTGTTCATGCTATGACGTGTACTATAGGCCTGCTGAACTCACGGTGACCCGCGACCGTGGTGGGATTTTTCATCCACAGGATAGTAAACGTAAGCAAGCAATCACGCGAGTGACGATGTTTGGAGATTTTTTAAAAAAAAATCACATTCGTCATGTTTTCAAGATGAAAAAAAATTGTAATGTAAAAAAAAAATATACCATGTATGAACCTCAGCTGCCACACTGTTGACTCAATATAATGTGAATTGAGTGTAAAATGTATTTGTATTTATAAACGATCATAACTGATACTATCTTATTATTTTAAGCATATTTATTATTTATTATTTAAAATTAGAATTTGAAATAAAAATATTTATTATGGTCATTTGATTTATGCAGGTGTTCATTACTTCATAAAATGGTATGAATAACATGTAGAGTAGAATTTAAAAAAATAATAAAATAACTAGATCTAGTTTTATTATCAACCAGTTGCTTTTTGTTATTTTCCGGTGAGTAAATTACCTAAGCTGACGCAATTACCATGGCGGGAATTAAAAGCTCGTGTACACAAGTCGACGACGTCATGTTATGCCAAGAACGCTGTTTTGTCATTCATTTTCAATTTTGATTAATTTTCAAATTCTCTCTTTTCTCGTCAACCGAGTAAGCTAGATATTTAAATGTGGTGTCAAATGTTCTCTGAAGGGGTAAGGAACTTAATGGTGTATTTGAAATAACAGAATATTTTATTTTTAAAAATCCAAAATTCAACCTACACAATAAAACTTCAAAACAACACAACTGAACTCCTGAGTCTGACTGACACTCACACTAAGTCACACAGACTACAGTCATCATGACATCAAGACATAGATTCTACATCTAGATCTAGATTTCTTATAATATAGAGTAAAGTTCCACGCGCGGTTAAAACACCGGTGCGATCATCGCCTGTTTATCGCTTCGTACAATATTTGTTTTGATGTTTTATACGAAACTACCGATATCTGCTGTAAACCTGTCCATTTCTAAATATATCCAGGTCAAATTCTTTTGTTTTTCTCCTTCTGGAAGTCGAGTTTTTAAATTTTAAAGTTTCGAGGTATGACGTCGTAGGCGGTTCTAGTTCCCCCTATGAAAAACACTAGGTCCCGGATGAGATGAATAAAACCAACCAATCAAAGCTTTTTATAACTAGGTTAACTATAAATAGCTTCTACAATATATGCGGGACACTGTACATACGATAGATAAGGCTAATAAAGCAACCTGATAGGTAAATAGGGGTGGCCGCAGCTTGGGTGTCGATTACGGTGGTTTCACATCGCTGCGTAACCAACGACTTGAGCTAGACTAGCCTAGTTCTAGATGCTCTATATTTCAAACTAAGCCTAGAATCTGTATACTTTCTATTTTTTTCTGCTGTTTTAAATTATTTCGATCATCTACTTCTTCTAAATCTAGTTTGTGTCTCTACATACAAGCATATCTAAGCAAATGTTACGTTATGTCTTTTAGTGGTTGTTACGTCCCTTTGTTATGATTATTATAGTTGCGTCCCTTGAGTCATCACTGGGTCAACTTTTAATGTCTTTAATTAATTTAATTAACATGTTTTTAATTATTATTTTTGCAATCTATTAATTAATAATACAATCAACAACACGTTTAAGTGTGTAAAATATTTATTTCAATTATTAAAATTGGATCAAAACGTATACAATACGCTCGTTGGCAAGCAGGTTCTTGCGTACGCAGGCAAAAAAAAAAGGGAAAAAAAATATCGCAAGGAGGGACGTCACTAAAACATGAATATCTTAAATACTATGCGTAGGAATACAAAATGACTCATACATATTACAGTAGAATGGCAGCGGAGTAATACAGTGCTTTCGGTTTGTTTCTGTGTGAAACGGTTATAAAATAGCGCCCGATGAAAATCGGGAATTTGGAATTTTCCGCTATGTGTGACCGCGCGTGGAACTTTACTCTAGATCTAAGTCATACATAACTCATTTAAGTATTAAACTAACTGATAACTCATATAAGGCCATAAGGGGTCATCCATAAATGACGTCACACTCGTAGGGGGGAGGGGGGTCCGTAATTTTGTGACGATGTGTGATGAGGGGGAGGGGGGGGGGTTCAGATGTTGCGACGTCACATTTTTGCATTATAAAAAAGCAATGTTATAAAACGAATTTTAGACGTTATTTCGCGTTTTAGATAACTGTTTTAATAAATTGTAATAGTTTAGACAAGATTTTGGGAAAATATCGATGTTTAAAAAAAAATTCAACTGCAATTTTGAGGGGGGTTGTAGGTTGAGGTGTGACGTCATTTTAGGGGGGGGGGTCTGGCTTTTTGTGACGACGTGTGACGGAGGGGAGGGGGGGAGGTAAAAATCGTCAAAAAAGCGTGACGTCATTTATGGATGACCCCTAACACTACTGTTGGTGTGTCAATCTCAACTCAGCCATAAAATAATAAAATTTAGATCTAGTTGGTCTAGCCCTAGGTTTTTAACATTTAAAATTAAAAACAGCTTGGTTCGTATCTAATCTGGAAAGTCGGGAAAAAGTGAAATTAAAAAGTGAATTCAGACTTTAAAAGGTTGGGAAAATCGCTAGTTTTTGGGCTGGAGTTTTATAAAGTCTGGTATCTAGTTTTAGAAACAAAACTTGTCCACACAGTCTATATTTATATATTTCAGACTAACAAAAAGGCTATAGGCCCTACTTAAGTGAATTAAATCCAACTTTTTTCCGCACCCTATGTGTGAGCCTAGAATGGGGAATGATGTTTTTCGTTGGATAGCAGAAGACCAATACCCTCCCCCCCCCCCACCAGCCAAACAGTACCAACTACGCACTTGGGGTCATAATGAGGATACACATGTATCATTTGTATTCATTAGTTGCAAACACATTATCTGTATAAAGTCTGGAATTTAATTTACGAATTAGTGTACGAATCAGAGTAGGCATATAGTTAGGTTAATAATGTTAAACTTAAATTAACTGTAGTATGACCACCTGAATAGGTTGTTATAGACATGGATATTATTATTGCTATTTGTTAAAAGAATTTTTTGACTTTTGAAAGTTTTCAAAATTGTTCCAAGCATTTTTTTCAAAATATAAAATAAAAAAAGAACAGTGAAAATATTATGAAAATAATGTTATTGTTTGTTTTTCTACATAGCCCCTTGTCTATGTCTGAAAACTTGAGTAAACTAGCACACAAAATAGATTTCTACAAAGATGAAAGTGAAGAGAAAGGAAAACCTACTTCTGAGGGTGAAAAAGAGACTGATGAAGAAAAAGTTTTAGCTCCATTTCAACCATCGCTATGGCCTTGGGACTCAGTGAGAAACAAGCTAAAGTAAGTTGGACAGTTTGTGATGTTAACTATTGTTACAAGACCCTTCTTTAAGTCAGTAAACTGTATCATTGTTTCTGATGGATTAAACATACCACACTTCGTATTCATTCACACTGAAAACTTTTACTTAGAATTATAGTTTGTTTTTATAATTGAAGTGTGTATATCTGCAATATTGGCCATATAAACATTTGACTGTAGCTAATCATAGTGTATGTAAACTTTACAAATCTTGATAGGTTATATTAGTTTTTTTGTTTTCAAATAGGTCAGCGTACACAGAAATCAGTGTGCTGTATGATATCCTAAACATAGTCAAAGAGAAACATTACATGGTAACAGATCCAGTTTCACAAGATTCTCCAGAACTTAAAGCACCTCTACAAATGCTTGCTAAGAAAAAAGTATGTACACAATATTTCAGTTTTTTCCTAATTGAATATTTGTTTAATAGTGATATAATCTATGTTCATATTAAAACTTAAAAAAAAATAATGTAATTTATTATCTCAATGTCAAATCAAACAAATAATGTACCAATTTTAGGGATTTAAACTAAGAAATATATTAATAGTGGGTTTTTTTTTAATGCAAAATTAAAAAAATTAATTTACCTATTTTCTAACTACCAAAATTTAAAAATATATTTGGTTGTTTTAGTATATTTAAAACATGCTGCTAAACTCTCCTTCCTACTGATACTAATGAATGAGTTGCTTCCAGAGTCTGATGGCAGCTGCACAGATTCTGGCCACTGGAGCCGAACGTCTAAAAAAAGTTCAGCTTGATATGGCCTCAAACACACAAGACAATTTTTTAATGGAGCTGCTCAAGCTAAGAAAAAACTGGAGGTTAAAAAAAGTACATAATACAATACTTGGGGAACTGAGTTACAAATCAGGTATGATATGAAACTTTAAAAAGCAAATATTCCTTTTTTTAAATTAAAATTACATATGGTCTCTATTATTTTCAGTACGTTTAGAAATTTTATGATATTATTATTCTTTGTTTGACAGCTGGTTCAAGGTTCTGGCAAGGAGGTACTTTTGAAGTACTTAAAACATCAGATCTTTTAGCAGAAGGGGAGATAAATCCTAGAAAAAGCTCTCTAGATGTCATCATACCAAGTGAATTAGAAGGTGTAGCATACATACAGGTGGAGGTGAAGAGTGTGCCAGGTAACTTATCTCTAAGACATAAGCAGCAATTAGAATAAAATTGGTCGAGTCATTGCTCTGTTCATGTAACATAGATAATCTGTACTTGTTACAGTACAACTAGTCACTCACCAATGTTGTATAAAGGTTCACGCTATTTTTTAAAAATTTTGTTTCCTTTTGAGACTGAAAATGTATTTTTTATTATCAATAATTAGATTTAATGGATTTGACAAGTGCTACGCTAAAAATGCCAGCAGGCCTCGGGGCAGTTTCAGTGGATGCCTATTGGCAGCAAAAGCTTGAAGTGGCTCAGAATGTCTTGTTTTGTAAAGAGTTATTTGCACAGGTAGCATTTCATTTTATGAAATAAATTTGTATATAAAAATTTTTATTGTTCAGTTTGAACATGTATATGTGATAAAATTATTCATCAAATTTTTAATAGCTTGCTCGTGAAGCAGTGCAAGTAAAAGGAAATACCCCACACATGGTTGTTGGCAATCAAATTCTCACTAATGTAAGTAATGCCTTTAATAACCGATAATTTTATTTTAAATTTGATCCCTGTATGTTCAGTAGAATCTGCAATTACATGCATTCACAAACTTCTTCATTTTTTTCTAGGTTTTTCCAGGTATTCAGCTGTCCATAGTACTTTGTCATTACACAGGAAAAGAAAAGAAGGTACCCTTGACTATACATATAACACTATATATTTTATTACAAGTTTAAAAAATAATACCATCATGTTATGTCTAAAACTGTCTTGTGTCAGCTTTAAACAAATGTGACATCATCATCACCAGGTAAACCTGTCACCACACAAGCTGGAACACAACCACGTCCTGGAGCACTCACTGCATCAGTTGCTGCGGGAGGTCCATGACAGAAACCTCAACTACAGCCCTCCCCACCCAGTCAATGCAATGCTTGGTATGAGCAAGCGACGTCGACTGGCTGGACCAAAGGCAATGTGCCGACTTGAGCTGATGGAGATGGTGGAAAAGTAAGACTACAGTTTTATTTTTTTTGTTCTATTTAACTTCTTCAAAATGGCACTACATAAAACTATTGTTTGTGGTTAATAAATATATTTTTGGCAAAGTTAAAGTTAAACAAAATAAACTAGCTAGATTTTTTTTTATCACTGAATTGTATTTGGCTTAAACTTACATTTTTAAAATTATTTTCTTGTACTTATAATAATATGTTCTTGTTTAAATTAATGATAATATTTTCTTTCAGTGAATCTCTCTTAGAACAGATATTGAAACAAACAAAACATGCTGTACTGAGAATCAGGTAGAACTGTTAAAAAAATATTGATATATTTTGTTCATCACAGAGTATTACATGTAGGGATAATCTTTCATTTTTATTTTAACCTACTTTCAACTAACCCAAAAATTATTTTATTTGGTTAAAAAAAATAATCTTTTAGCCTTCTAATTATCGCCCAAACTTAACCCACCCACCATTCTTTTCACAATGAAATTTTGTTTGTCTTGCAGATCCATGCACGTCATAGACCAACTTTCCATCAATATCCAAGACCCACAGATTTGTGCTCACTGGAGCTGTCTCAACAACAGTCTAGAATCCAGTGTTAGAATCAGCATCACATCCTACGGCTATGAAACAATCAGGTTTGTCTATTTGATCTTAAAACTCAATTGATTTCAAATTATGACATAATACATTTTTTGTAGCTATTTAACTTTAAAAGGGTATGCTCTGATCAGGTTTTAGAAATACCTACATCTTTTGTGTATTGTTTAAACTGTGTACTAATGATATTTAATAGTTTTATTTATGTTAAACCTAATAAAAATTTATTTTTTGTTCAATTTTCCAGAACCCCACTTGTTCTTATAATTGGAATAGACACAATCCAGGTTGTGATGAAAGATGGCAGAGTCTGCACCTTGTCATTTGAGGATAGTGAGCTAAGAGATCTGTTACAGTGGCAGGTAGGTTACTGCATTTTACTTTGGCACTGTGATCATGACTAGCTTGTACAACAATGTCCATAACTAGCCTTCCCTATTGGTGACCCAAGCTAGCCTTCCCCACACTCACTGTAACATGTTACTGTCTTTTTATCTGAACATTTTGATCCTTATTGATTAGCTGTTGTTTTTTTCCTAGATCTGCCAACATCATGCCCATTCCATTCAGCATCTTGCCAAACTACAGGGCTGGCAAGTGTTGTCAGGAATTGTAAGCAGTGGCCATGGTGATATGGAGACCTACGGCACAACCTCTAATGTTATGCTGGCCTCACCTAAAGGCAATGTGTAAGTTGTATAAAAAAATCACCAGTATTTTGTGTCGTTGTTTGTTTAAGATTAGCTATAACCAACTTTAGGGACTGCATGGTCAAAAGGTAGAACTTATGACTACCAACTTAGAAGTCTCAAGTTTGGATTCAGGACTCAAGTCTGTGGGTCATCCTTGAGTCCACACAACTCTGATGGGTACCTGACTCACCGCGCTGACCATGCTATCCCTCAATGTCATTTGTTTAATAGTGATATAATCTATGTTCATATTAAAACTTCAAAAAAAAATTATGTAAGGGGAGATGTGTCTTGAGCATGGACGGGAAAAGCTTATCTTAAACAACTTTATCTATTCCTCTACTGTTACAGATACTTGATTTTCTATTTTTCAGCGTGCTTGCTTTTCATAGTAACCCAGTAAGTGGAAATCGACTGTCTGTGAAAAAGATGGATCCAACCATTGAAACTCACACCTCGCCAGCTGTCACTGCTACAAAATGGGCCAGCTTATGTGGGGAATTTCAAGTTAGTTCAATTTTTATTTTTCCTAACCTGTATCTGGGTGAGCATGACATATTTTAACAGTAAATGTAAGTGGAGGTTTTGATGACAAAACCTTTTACTGGACAGGTCTAAAACAAAATTTTGTAGCTCTGGCATTTTTTGTATAAAGAATATTTATCTTCAATTTTAATTGCAGGAAATCAATCTTCAGCTCTTGGAGGGTCGTAACTTGGCAGGGAAGATAGACATGCTTATGGCCAGATTGTCTTCTAGTTGATAGGTCTAAACATCATCTGATTAATTAACTTGTTAGGTGGACAGCACTGCTGTTTAGTATATTGGTATATAATGGCCCTGATAACAATGGTTTAGATAACAAATGAAAAACATTTATTTGTTCTGCAAGATCTCAACTTGAAATCTGCAAGCATCATTTCAAATATCTGTATATATTTTATTAAGTAAATAATATTACTTGTTGGAATGTTTATATGTAAATAGTTATTTTTGTTTTAAGTTCATGATGTTTTTTTAAATAAATCTTTTTAATGTAAAAACAGTTTTGTAAAAATAGTTTTTATTTAACAAGAACACAATTAAAAGCTTTTTGATTAAGTGAGACATAAAAATCAGTATTGCACACACAAAAAATGCGTAAGTAGAACTAAAAAATTAATACCATTATTTTACAAAATGTGAGTGAATAAAAAAAAAGATCTCTAGTTCTATAACAAATATATTTTATATTGGTTAGGTAATTAAAGTAGACTAGAATAATTTGTAAAAATCATGTAATGTAAAAGTATGATATGCAGATGTGGACAGAGTTCAAGCAAGCATTATCACATAAAAGTATAAGTTGTGTACTAAGATGTAAAAGTGAGATCAAGGAATGTAAGTACTAATTTTCACACTACAGTTATCACTGGCTACATTGGACCATGTGATAATATTACAACAATCAATGTAGTATGTGATTAAATAGACTGAGATGACACCAAAATGGGTGTTACAACACTGGTTAACTATATGAAAATTTGATGTAAAATATTAACAAATCCAGCTATATGTTTGTAGTAATATCTGTTAAACTGATTTATGAAAATACCATTCTTGTAGTTCAATAACTTGTATACAACTTTTCAAACACACAAATAAAATTATCTTGAGATATAGTTACAAGTACAATCAAATCAATTAAGAACAATTAGAATGTTACACATTGACACACCAAATATAACAACAAAAATTAATATCTAACTAAAGGCTAAACTACAACCAAATCATGTACCTTGGCAACAGTTTTTGATTATTTCTCATTTTAAAAAAAACACAATAACCACAATAAAATAATATTTAAAAATAGTTTTCTGTGAAAAATTCAGCATTTCTTTTTTTCACAAAAATTTGAGATTCTCTGTTACTGAGGTCAGAAATGTGTGTAAACATTTCAAATAAAAGAAGCTACAACAATTTTGGCAGTGCAAAGGCAGATAAACTCTCGTGTTGAAAAATTAAGCATTTCTTTTTTTCACAAAAAATTTGAGATTCTCTGTTACTGAGGTCAGAAATGTTTGTAAACATTGCAAATAACAGAAGCTACAACAATTTTGGCAGAGCAAAGGCAGATAAACTCTCGTGTTGTACAGGGTATTTCGATAACAAGAAGATTAGCAACACAGTTAACTGACAGCTGCCGAAATAACTACTGACAAGGCTGTATATTTGAAAACTTCTTTGCTTACTTAGAGAATCTAAAACACAACAGGCTACCCCATGTAATGTCTTAGATTAGTCATTCCACATTTTTTTCATACAACTGAATACTTATATTAATACATATAAATAAAAAATACCAGAGAAGTTTTAAATTGAATTCTTAAGTACAAAAATCAGGTTGTATGTTCATTGACTATATAAACCAGTTATGAAACAAAATTAACTTTATGTTCTACTGCTTTATTAACATTTCATTTGTTGTAACAGTCTATTGTAAAAAAAAAAGGGAATGTTACTAGTTTCATATGATGACAAGTACACTAATTAGAATCTTCATGATTTGTCTGAGCTGGGACACTATAATAAGATTAAGTTAAAGAGGTAGATTATAGGTTATATAATTTTACCATTTAAAATAAAACCTGAATTTAAAAACTGGTCACTTCTAATTGTAGGAGAAAATGAAAACAAATTATCAAAATAAATAATGTAGCATTTCTATAACAGATATGCCACTTTGATGGCAAATTTATTAATTAATTCAAGGACTAATAATCTACTTTGACTTTTTTTTACTAACTATTGATAAAAAAACATATTTTTTTTTCTTAAATAATATTGTAAGTTTAATTGTATCACAAAGAACTATTACCAAGATTATTGGTATCATTAAAATTTCCTAACTTTAAAACCTAAGAGACACTGTCATTTGTGCCTCCTTATATCTAAAACCTAACAAAGACATTGTCACTGTGGCTCCTGAAAGTGTCTGAGTACTTTCGCAACCTGACCCCTTGCCAGGCTAAGAAAATTCCACCAAGGGACAGACCTACCAATAGACCAATGAGAATTGGGCCAGACACCTCTGGTTCATGCCAGGTTTTCAACTGACCCTGGCGCCAAACTGTGTACATTGACTTCCTGCACCACTCGTCATGGCGGTTGTCATCCTCCATGCTGGCTGGAGAAACATAGGAGAGGGATTATGGCTCAAACAGTAAATTAATCATACATGATTCATCAATAGTTTTATTCCATCATTGGAGGACAAATTTAATTTTTAGTAACATAAACATTGTTAAAAAATATAATGATTTATAAATGGTTGATTTAATGTTAAAATCCACAAATAAATAGAACTTATATTTGCTCAGATGGTATTGAACGTGTTGCTATGAAACAGAGTTTAAAGAAATAGAAGTGAATTTTAGCACCATAGTCTTAATTCATCAAGTTTCATTTCTTCAGTTGCACACAAGATTTGTCAATAGGCAGAGTTAATTTTTACGTTTAGTTATTTATTAGAGTGGTTTAATCAAAATTATTTAAAAAAAAAGAAGCTTACTTTTCTCCGCTACATGTATTGTAAACTTATGAGGGCTGGATGTGTTGCATGTGTTGATATCTGCTATGTACAGCTTGCCAGGTTGTGTGAATGTCTGGTAGTAGATCCCTTTATCTGAGTCTTGTAGTTCCAGCTTCTTGGCCTTGCTGAACTTGCAGTTTTGATAGTCACTCTGAAACAAGTGTACACAGGTTTATTAAACACCATTATACTCAATGGTGTCGATTGGAAAACAATCTGCTCATCATCATTCAGTGAATAGGGTATGTTATTCATGGCAGTCTCTGAGAGTGCCATCATAGGTGACTTGACTAAAACAGGTGGTTGCTAATACTAGACTATTAAATAACATTACAAGACTAGATCAACACATGCCCCCTAAACCAGGGGTCGGCAACCTGCGGCTCGCGAGCAGCATCAGCTCTTTTGATGCCAAGATGCGGCTCTCCTGCTCCTTGCACAAATATTAATAGTTATATTATTTCATTTTCAAAACTCATAACAAAATTATACTGTAAAGAAACACAAAACAGTAGAAAAAACTCATCAGAGAACAGTGAAAATAAGTGCAGTAGAAAGTATACGGACAGCCGTGCTGTGACCAGCCCTATGGCAACAATTCCATGCTTGCCACTGCCAAAGTGTCGACTTTTCAAATATCGTTAAATGGGGAATGTTATTCTTTAAGAATGCATTCTTCTACCTGTCCGTCAGTAATCATTAATTTGACCTGAGTGACTTAGTTCTTTTTAGTTATTAGCTTCCTACTGTGGAGCCGGATACTGGACGGTGGGGTACGAGTTTACCCTGTGTTCAGTGGGGTGGAAGATAAGCCTGGTGGGAACCAAAGGACAGAAGTGACAGATACACGGTAATCAAACAAATATCTAAGCCAGTTAGTCGGAGTTTGCCATGTTGCGGCCTGCCTGGCTAATGGGAGACACCTCCTGAGCCAATAGTGTCCATAAAGAAAGAAAAAAAAAAGGTAACTGCTCCTAATGTGGTTGGGACGGTCCTATAGTTTTTTTTTTTTATTACTAAATTCATTATTCTGGCGAAACAAGTGTATGTTTTTATATGAATAAATATTATGTCATATTTAAAGCTATTTATTTTAAATAACAAATCAAATTTATTTACCTAATCCTAATCAATTAATAAAATATTGAAATAAAAATGTTAGTGGCTCTTTAAAAACCGGGAAATTTTGTAAATTTTAACTTTTGGCTCTTCCGCCTCAAAAGGTTGCCGACCCCTGCCCTAAACTGATATTATACACATAACCAAAGACTGAGCCTATATCTTACCCTAGTACCATAAACTGATATGGTATAAATAACACATCACCCTTAAGTTTTTAGAGTGTTAAGCATTTTCCTCTCATTTGTAAAGTCATTGAACAAACAGTTTACAAATAGTTACAACAGCTAGTAAAATATTTGCTTTAACCAAGGTCTGAATGACCATGTTACCTCTGATGACATTCTATAGAAGGTTGAATTCTCTCCCAAATATATCTTCAGGTTGTCTGAAACAACAGCGTAGATGTCTTGGTACGTTTCTGAATCCGCTGACCAGTTGTACTGGTCACTGCCCATGTTATGTGTCTGGTTACAATGGACAAATTATTTTTATATAAATTGTGATTAGAAATAAATAAATTATAATAAGCATTTCACCCCTAAAAACTAATTCAGCAATTTCATCAATTTAATAAGCTTATAGCAAACTCTAACGTGCCCAGCATTCATTAAAAGTTTTTTGTCATACTACATGCAAACCCATGTTTCTGACAATAAATCAAAATCATTACAAATAAAAACTGCAAGTTCTAATTTTCGAAAATAATTTCATTTTGGTGGAAAATTTTTCCTTAAAACGGAAACTGGATTTCCATTAAAATATGGGAAAAGTGACATCGCTAGTATCACAAGTCAATGAACAAACCTTGCTTTTGATGCAATTTCCTCTATATACAGGTGGTAAGCCCTTGTTGATGTTGGTGTCACCATTTACTATTATGGACACAGAGTCTGATGCAAGTCGTTGGTCATTCAATGGGATTTGATTCTGTAGTATTTAGGTGACAAATAATGTCAAGACAAAGGCACTTACCATTGTTCAAACAAAGTAAAGAATAGGAAATTTTAGCATATTGAATAATGAGTCTATTAAATTAAAATTTAAAAAAATCATTTGATTATATTTTATTCAGGCAACTTAATGGTAAATTTGGTCAACAATAGCCTATTGTTCTTTGAAAAAAAAAATTAAGGCACTTCACTTACAAGAAAATCTAGAAATCGGACAAAGCCATCAACATATAAAGACCAAACAGGATAGAATCAATGAACACATTATCAAACATTGTAATGAAATTAGTCAATTTTTTTATCATTGGTCAAAGAATATTATTTCTGAACAGTTTTTAATTAATGAACACATTATCAAACATTGTAATGAAATTAGTCAATTTTTTTATCATTGGTCAAAGAATATTATTTCTGAACAGTTTTTAATTAAAATGGTTTATGAAACATTGGCTTTTAACCTGTCAGGTTTTCAACAAATATTCCTTGATATTTTTATATTAAGACCATCCATGATGTTCAACCCTTCTGTTTCATTCATCACAAAAAAGATAAACTCCCCCCCCCCCCCCCCCACCCCTTCTCATCAAATGCAATACATTGCAATATTTATTTTTGAACTAGCAATTTTTATTTACTATTTTCAAATGAGATCTTAAAAATGAGAAATTACTGATTAAATTCAGTTAAAAACAATTTAAAAAAAAAAGCGAAATTGTGATGTAACATTTTCTTAACTAAACCGCCTTGGTGACAAAATTCCAAACTCTTACTCCCCTCCCATGATATGTGACATCATTTATAAATGACACAACAGACTGATTCCTAGAGCAATTAGATTCTACTCACACATGCAATGAATGAGTGACTGAGTGAGGCCACAGGTGTGAAGGGAACTGTATCCACCTTCCCTCCACTGTCCAGTTCCAGGCTGTAGTTCATGCCACTCCAGTACCTGTTGTCTACCTGCACACTGTCAGGTGACCAGGGGGAAAAATAGGAACTTTAACAATATAAACAATTGAGCCATCAGGTGATCAGAAAAAAAGATTTACTATAGTATCAGAAATTTTTTAATGATTGGCACATGTTCTCACTTAGGTATACTGGAACACACAACTATTGACACGTTTCAACTTAATAATACTGGAGCATAATGTATATGATCACACAACATTGGGCACATGTTCCAATGTCTCAACTTATTGAAATAGAACATTATCTATGAACACACAATCATTGGCACTTGTCCCAACTCACCAATACTGGAACACATTGGCCCTGTCCAAGATGAAAGTTTCCATCTGGTGCCACTCCCTGCCTGGTCCATTCCCTATCACCAGCTGATCAACTCCTATCCCATTCAAGGAGAACTTATTCCTTGTGTCTTCACCTGTACAACCAGTACAACAGGGATATTGTATATACCACACTACAACAGGGATATTGTATATACCACACTAATGTCAAAATCACACCATAAAGACCAACTACACACATGCACCCAACCCCACACAAGAAGCAGACTCAAACTTTTATTGCATAGATAAATAAGCAATACTAAAAAAACAAGCTAATTAAAAAGTCTAGTGACAATTTTAGCGCAATTTCCTTATGTTATCTAAAAATAGCTCTGTCATAGCGTAAATCAAGAGCAGGGTTAGTAAAACCATTGGTTTAAATACATGTTTTATTTACAATAGAGTTACATGACTAAAAACCATTGCGCGTCTAGCTACTGAACGTGATGACGCAGCCATTGAACGTGATGGCGCAGCTATTGAACGTGATGACGCGTGTGGTGTGGTTGGATAAAAATGCCTACTAATTCGGTCCAAATTTTAATTAATTCAAAAAAATTTTTGTGACCGAACGAAAGGATATTTTTGAAAACTTTCTTCGGCAATATTGTTCTAAATTATGGCAGGAATCGATTGGTACATGTTTCAAGTCGCTAAGTGGTCTGGTTGCCGAGATATGAGCCAAAAACTGCATTTTTTCGAGGTTTTTTGGCTTTTCCGGGAAATCCATGAAAGAAACCCGGAATTTTTATGGCCTATGTTCATCCTCGTAACTTGCTTAACATAATTGCTTTTGGAACTAGTCCTCGATATTGCTTCGTTGAGGAGGAGATACGACAAAGCTGCGGACACACATTCATTCATTCATCCATTCAGAAATGACGGGTTAATAAACGCAATTCTCCAAAATGGAAATTGCGCTAAAAACCACCAATAGAACTTACACTTTCCTTCCACCATCCCACAGTACTGCAGCAGTGAACCAACAACCTAACGAAGCAAACAAATCTGATTAAATAAATATTGGAAAAATATTTTTTGTCAATACTCTCATAAATTATTATAATATAAGAACATTATTTTTAAATATTAAATTGAACTGAATGAAATAGCATTATTTTTAAACTAAATCGTCCTTTAAATAAAATAAATGTTGTATGGTACCCACATTTCCAGTGACATTACCACCCTCTGAGGTCACCCTGATGGCAGCTTGTCCTTTCAGTAGGTGAAGTAGAACCTCACTACTCAACTCCTGTAAACAAGTATTGAATATTACATAACTGTATAGATCTATGACACTATTATCATGTACACATGTATACACATGTCTGTAAAAAAAGATGAGCAGAATAACAGATTTAAAATAAAACCTGACGGGACTTTTAAATAACTTGTTACTTTATAATTTGACACGAAAAAAACAATACATAATCTTTTGACTTAGAACAGGCCGTAACAGACTAAATCAACACATGCATAAAAAACTAAAAATTGGGTGTGGTGAAATATGCCCTTGTGGCAACGTCCCGGAAAATACGGAGCACGTCCTTCAGGAATGTTCTTTATATAGCCAGGCGCGTGTCAGACACTGGCCCCTGCTCACCCCACTCAGGGAAAAATTATATGGGGCACCTGCTAATCTGGAGACCACAGTCCGGTTTATTCACGAAGTTGGACTTGTTGTCTAAATCCTCCACCATATTCTCAATTAAGAACGAAGAAGAAGAAGCAAAGAAATTTTATTTTTACTTAACAAAACCACCTACATGGTACAGCATGGCCTCTATACAACAGAACAGCTGTGTACAGTGGATTGTTTCCTTGCTCAAGTCCACTAAAACATTACCACTGGGACCAACAAGATGAGCGGACTGGAGGCTTGGGGCCAGATCATTCAGCTGACAAAAAAATTAAATTTAAACACTAGGGCCTAAACAAACTCAACATAATCTGTTTTTTTTTATCCTGAAAGTAATACATAAAGTGCTTGTTAATGCCTTTTTTGACAAACAGAAATCTAAAACAATGAGGACAAATGACCTGAAATCTTTTAGTCATTTTATCAATAAAACTGTATAACTAAACACTCAATCCCTAGTTTCTGTGATCTTTAAAACAGCACAAAATGCACTTTGAAAAAAATAAACCGAAACTTAAAAATACTAGTCAGATGCCCTAAAGACTATACAGGTAAAAATGAAAATTGAAGTATAAAGTACTACATACAACAACATCTACTCTTAGCCACTGTCCTTGGGTGATCTGAATCTCAGTCAAGCCACGAACACGACCTCTCTGATCCCTGAGTACAGCCTGCATTATTGTTATATATTGGAAGTATTTAGTTCAATGCATCAATATAATTATTTTATAGGCACATCGCCAATCTTTTTTTAAATGTAACTATTAGTTTTATGTTATTGCTATAAATTGTAAAAAAGGAAGCAAGGGAATCACTTACATACATCCCTTCTTCCAAGTCACCCTCCAAAACATTTTTTTCTTTATCTGTCTTCACACTGACAGTTTTCAGAAACTTTACTAAATGTGCAAAAAAATATTCAAAAGTTATGGTTCATCTAAACAAACACATCTTTTCCACACTGGACAACAAAAAGATTCAACTTTCGATGTACTGTACAATAAAAATAATTTAAAATTTATTTCACGTAGTATTTAAATTTCCTTTGTTTTATGTATATATTTCAACAGGGATACCTGTTTTTTGTTAGTAAGTATTTATCAACCTATAAAGAACAGGGAATTGATATTTTAAGAGAAATGTTTCAGAAACATTCCTGCAAGTATAAGATTCTTTAGCGATTGTTCACATAAAATAACAAAAATAGGAATAATGTTACTTTATACCACCACCTTATAGCACACATTAAAACAAAAAAATATTTGGCACAGTAATTTAAAATAACATTCTATGTAAAAACTAAGGGTCATTATTCAGTGAAAGAAGGAGCTAACTGTCAGTAAATATCAACCTACCTGTGTTGATGTAAGGCAGCTGTTTGGTTATATCCACAGCAGCATGTAATATCCCTGTAAAACTGGGTGGCACATCTATCTCTATGGGAGGAATACCTGGAAAAAATATGTGGAAACATTTATTTCTATTAGAGGAATGCCTAGAAAAAATATTTTGGCTATCACACTATTTCGCTCTATCAATCCGAATTCAGCTGCAGGTTTCATGTTACTTCTTTCTACCGTATCCACCCTAAAATAATGTATAAACCTGCTCTGGTAGTTAAAAGCAGCCCCTGTAACAGTCAAAGCCCTTGCTGTGACTCACATTACCTACCTACAAGTGCTGGTCCACTGATGACTATGGTCTCTATCTGTTCCCTCTCAACATGCAGGACAGCTGTGATGTATGCCCTGTTTTCTAGCACTGTCATACCCAGGATGCCGTGAGCTGTCACATGAACTGACTGTAGATAAGCCTAGGGATTCAAAAGATACACTTAACACTGACTGTAAGTAGGCTTAAGGATGAAAATGTTATATTGTAAACATTGACATTAGATTAGCACAGAAATTCAAATCTTATCATTCACTGAATATGCCTATATGCCTAGGCATTTAATTGTTACACTTTACATCATTTACACTAATTTAACTTAACAATTAACCCCTGATGGGTCATATGGAAGAAGAGGAAGACCACTCTAGTAAAAACATTTCTTCTCTATGCTATGCTGGGCACACCATTCAACTTAATGTGTTCAGACATTCACAGGTTAGGCTCAAATTTGTCCTAACCTTGTTTTAACCAATAACCTCTAGCATAATAAATATACTTCCTCATCTACTAATTTACCAGCAACTACAGCAATAGTTAATATTTGGTAGTTTAAAAAAGATCTAAACATCAATATTTTCAATAAGTAATAGTATAATAGAGATCATCATCCTACCGTGTAGAAACTGGATTTGGGCACACAAGGTCCAGCAGGTATTGAGGCTATGGGATCTTCTGCCTGGGGGCCTAAAAACTTGCTGGCCACCAACCAACCACTCTTGCTGTACTCATCGTGTAAAGCACCAATTTTACCTCCAGTGAAGAGCTGAGAATATAGCATTACTCATTAAAACAATCTAAGATTAGTTCTAATTTTAACACTTCAGGTACTTTACTTAAAATTTTTATAAATAAACATGATGAGTTGAAAAATCATCATTCTTTATGAATAAGTTTAGCATATATTTTTTTTAATATTTAGTACTTACTTCCCCTGAGTGGATTATATCACCTGCGAGAGATTTGTCAGATCCAACAATGTTCAGCACAAGTTGATCCCTCTAATTTAAAAAAAAATGTATGTTAAACAAAATGCCTGTAAGAAGTACAAAGCAGCACATTAGCTTCTAAGATGAAAAATACATAACTACTTACAGATAATTCTTCCACTTCAAATGTACTGAGCTCTTCCCATGTGACTGAGAAGGAATTTGAAATTTTCTGTTTCTCTGTGATTGTGACATTCCATATGATGCTGATATTTTTTCTTATCTCTACCCTTTCTACGGGTCCTCTATGTAAAATTAATGAAATAAATATAATTTCCTGCCCATTTATTAAATATAAATAAAATGTAATTAACATAAAAAACACAAAATAAACAATTAAATCTAAAGAACCCTCACAGTTTCAAGGCATCAGGAATATGTATATGCAACTTCTTGTGAAGAACATCATATACTAGTTTTGCACCCTCATCAGTCTGTTAGGCAAAAGAAAAAAAATTTCTGTATTTACACTTTATATTGAATTTAAGGGGCAAAAGCTTGATGGTTTTAAAACCCAATTTGGAGTTGTTTTTTTTCAATGGCTAGACAAGTAAATTAATAATACTCTACTTCTTTTAAAAAAATAAACTATTAACTTGTGTGTAAAATGTTACTTATTCATGATTGGTTTACAAAATGAAGATGTTTTTTCTAATGAGACAAGCAAGTTTAAGATATTTTTAAAAGGACAAGACATTTAAACCTCATTTCTAATAAGGAATAAACTTTTTATGTTACTAGCATATAATTTGTTAACAAACACTATTGTATAATTGGCTTATAAAATGAAGATGTTTTTTGAAATGATAAAAAATAATCCAAAATGTATGAAAAAGGAAAGAATAAAAACCAAAATACTAATACCTTGTATAAATACTGTGGTCTGTAGGGCCAGTCACCTGGTATGTTGTCTAAATAATTAGAACAGTAGCTCAGATTCCTGTTAACACCATCAGCAGTTGGCCTGTGAGGTAGAGAATTGTTTTCAGGTGTGTGTTTAATACATCTAGGAGGTGAGTGAACAATTGAAACTGTTGAATTTTAAGAGCCCAAGCAGCAAAAGTGCATGTAAACATAGCCTTAAAGTATTTAAATTTTCATGCCTTTGTCTCACACACAGATGAAATTGGACGTTGAAAAATAACCCCACTGCCTAATAATCATAAAAAAATTAAAATGTTATTAAAAACACTTTAGCAGGAATTCTAAAGATACATTATAAAGTAACATACAGAGTATATAACTTAAAATAGATTTTAAATAACTACAAATTCACATTACTGTACACTAGTTACTTTAAAAGGTAAATAAAAAAAAGATTCCACTTACCTAATTCTAATATTAGCACAACTAGAAACTGCAATGCAGTCAGTAGCATTGCCAGTGTCATTTCTCTGTGTCAAATCACACAATTTGTTTTCTAGAAAAGAGAGAGAAAGTACATAACTATATATTGGTCATTAAAAAAAAATCACAGAAAATATATCAGATTAAATAGAAAAATAAACAAGTGATTAAAAAAAATATGACAAGTGTACTAAAACATTTAAGACCTTGAGGTGTGATTATCTGCTGTAACATCAGCTGGCAGTTTTCACAATTCAAATCTGGTATCATAATAGTGATGTAATAGGTGCTTCCATTACATATTCCAAGAGGGTTGCCATTTCCCTAAGAAAAAAAAAACAACAAATTTCCATATAAAACAACATATTGAGATGATGCTGTTCTAATAGCTTTTAACATGTGATAAGTTTTTTTAGGTTTAGCAAAATCTGAAATGTGTAATTTAAGAAAATTGTTTTAGTCAATGTGGTTAGAAGTAGGGACAATAACTGTCTCATTTCATGTCCAAAACGTTTAATAAAATTCAGCATGGAGATGTAACAATGGTTTCAGTTGGTGATAACATTTTCTCTAATTATATTTTAAAATCAAGTTAACACTATACACGTAGGCTACCTTCTTGTACACTTTAAATAGTGCAACAGTTCAAACAAATCTACCAACATCTAATAAAAACATTAGAAGTAAAAACAAACTTTTTCAATACAGTCTTTGCTGACAACAGCCTGGTTATTGTGTGGGATGTGATCTAGCAGCAAACAGCTGTACTTTGTCTCGTCCCCTGAGCTGTCTGTAGAGTTGGTGCCATTCTTTATTTCTTCAAGCTTTATGTCTTTGGAGTCTCCAATTAATGTGACACGGAATGGGGAATCTATAATTAATTAGGATATCAGGGCATTAATTTAGAAATAAAATAAAAATAGCCTGTGTACTTGTCATTTAATTTTCAATGTATTATTTGGCTTATGTAAAAAGATATTCTTCACATAATAAGTTTTCAGATTTTAATTAGGATATACAAACTTGATTGAAACTTGGTCTCTTCAAATCTTATAGTGAAAAGTCCAGGTGAGACATCCATGATGTTTTTACTGCTAGTATCATCCTGGTCACAGGTATTTTGACTCTGGAAACATAATTTTATTTTCTTAGAATATTAAATTATCTAATACATCAATGTAGCATATCTATAATACACATGTGAGATTAAGTTAATTGCCTGTTTTTAAAATATGTACTAAGTCTAAATTAAACTTTTGAAAACGATGAGGTAAATTTATACTGTGTCTTTAGAAAACATTTGAATGCACTGAAAATAAGAAAATAAACCAAACATATTTTTCCAATAGATTAATGGCAAAAATCCACTGGATGCTCTTGAACTCTCTTTAACACATTTTTGTGAGCAATGCTTATACCTGTGAAATGATGTATTAGACCTCAACATGCCCTAATTGATAGGCTTAAATACTAAGTATTATTATTAGGCCCAATACTATAGGTACTTATAATAAAACACCCACATCTTTAGTTATAGATTAGGTGTAGTTAATCGAAGACTAGAAGAGAAATATTAATTTAATAGTCTTTCTTAGAAAGTTTCTAGTTTTAGTCTAACTAATCGTACTAATGTCGAATGCTAAATTGATTATTGCACTAGAAATACTAAATTACTAAACAATAGTGGCCAATTAAGGATAGGCACCACGGATAAAAATTTTTTTTTTATTTAACACATTTCTGGATGTTTAATAAGTTCATATAATTATAGTTGCTAAACTATAGACAAAAATAATATATAGCCGTCAATAGCAGTACTGGTTGCCATGGAAACAGCGAAAAGGTGTGAAAACTAACACCTTTTCAAATCGCTAAGGCTTTGTTCCCATAAGAGATTTTAAAAAACGGATGAAAGATTTAGATTTCTCAAACCAAAATATACATTTCTACGTTTACTTATTGCGATAGCTTGTACTCAATTTTTTATACAAATTTTTACGTAAATTTATGTACAAAAATTAGGGGGTGGTGTTACAAAAATATCAATATTTCCTTAAGTATTGTAGTAAACTTAATGTACAAACGTAGTTTTGTAGATGGTATAATGCTGAACGCATGTGGAATGTTTTATTCTTGTATGACAAAGGGTTCCAAAGCCTTAGCGATTTGAATGTTGAATTTTGAGTAAAAATGCAAAGTTGAGAAAACGTGAAAAGAAGAGCGGGAAAAGGCGCGGTGCTTTTTCTCTTATAGAAAACAGAAAAAAACGTCTTGTTATATGTGGAAGAACCATTTGTCTAATAAAACACGCTTTGATTTATGTTGTAAGCTTTAGATAGATTTTTTCTATGTAAGCAGAAAATATGTATACAACAGGTAATGAATGTATGACTATTAAGTATTACACATCCTATCAATCGAGCGGTATTCTCAGAACAGCTATCATCAAACCAGATAAAGTTTTGTTTGTTAGCCGGTCTTCTCACTTCAAAACAATGTCTTTCTCTATTCAAATTGTAGCTTACACAAGTTTATTGCCTTATGATAATAGCCTACAACACAACACTGGGTACAACGCTGGAGGCTAGACACGCCCCTCCACCCCATCCCACCGCTGGATAGTGCGTGAGGAACCGATGAGCCATAGATTACCAATGTTCATTCAACCGCGAATAACACATCTGTGTAGATAGGGTCAAGTACAGGGCCTAAGTAAATGCTTCCCAGCTATCCTATCTACTATTATCTAGTATTTACATTCGTTGCTAGCACACCCTGTACGGAGAGATGGGCATACACTTTAACACATGTGTCGTATACAGTCCGGTGTAAAGCCTGATGAACGCATTCAAGCCTATCACAGCATGCCGTAACAAGATTATAAACCGGCCGTTGGTTGAATGGCGAGAACGTAATGAAGGGAGTAAAGGGGATGGACAGTACATTCTTCAAACTGATAGTCATGTCCATGACGCATTGTTTCAGCTTAGTATAATTTTAAAGCGTACGCAACAGTGTTTAATATTGTTCCAGTGATAATCAACAGTACATTTCTAGGCAAAGTTTCAATTATTAAACTTAATGTTGTTGTATAACTTTAAAACAACAAATAGAAGAGTATACGCAAATGAGGTAAACAAACGAGACAGGCGATTGTTTTGTTTATCTAGAAACAAGATGGCTGCCTAGCATACGTGGTTAGTTGCAGCCTATCGTGAATTATTTTGATTTACTGTACTATAATATGATTGGTCAAGCGTATCAATGAACCTCTTCCCATTCATAAATTTTACGCGCATGCCCTTATATGGAGTTTAATATAAAATTTTACTTTGTAGAAAACAACTTCTATCCCAATTATTTTTAGAACAAAAGAAAAGGTCACTACACCAGCGGGTACACGAGTGCTTGGCCCTTAGATTGCTGTAAAGTTTATTGTGCCTCGCGGGCAATAAATGATGTAATACCCGCTCGAAGATAGCCGCTGTCCGCGTAGTAGTGTGAAAACTTGCCGGGGGGTACCATGTTTCACATCGCAATAAACGAATAACCGTAAGCTGTAGAAGTCCGAAATGTTCGGGTTAGATAGATAAAAGGTATTAGTATCGAATTAAGAAATAAAAATTTTGGGTAGCAAAATTAACATTTTATCGAAAACATGGGTATCTTGTTCCCTTAAATACTAGTAATTGAGTATTAGTAGAGTATTATTAATAGTCTTAATTTACCATTCCCTTATTCAACCTTTTTCCAAAAACATAGCTTCGCCTATTCTGGTTCTAATTTGTGGAACAATCTTCCTAATAAAATAAAGCTATCTAGATCTGAAAATATATTCAAATCTAAACTAAAACTAAAATTATTTAATGACCTAACTGACTCATTGTAACATTTCTCATTCATCTATTATATTCTCTTTTTTATCTCATTATGTATGATAGCTATGTACCATTGTTTCTTTATTCCACATTTTTAGTGCTATGTGTTACTGCTATGTGTTATTGAATTGTTTTATTTGTTTAAACGGCCAATGTGAAAAAAGGCCTTTGTGCCTACAATTGTAACCGTTGTTTGAATAAATTTGAATTTGAATAGTAAAGAGAATTAAATAAATAACAAAGAGGCTACCCAACAAACACTTTAATAATTCAATGTCTGTTGGGCAGTGTTGGGTAAGATGTTATTGTTAAGTCACAATAAGTGAGACTACTCTACTGTACTTGCTTAGGCTACTTTTACTGCAGTGAGTTGGGAGAGGAATAGTACTAAGTAGAGTTAATTTAGTAGAGTACACTAATAGTTCATTCATATTAATACACAACAGTTAGACGAACTGGTCTAGTTACATTTATTTTAATTTCAAGTAAAATTTAAAAAAATATCTATTATTTAACAACCTCCCCCCGCCTCCCCCCCCCCCCCCCAATTCAGGCTAATCAACATTTCAATTTCTTCTTGATTTGTGATTCTCTAGAGATTTTAGATTTTAGATTTACCACACTTACAAAGTATGTGACAGATTCATGGTCAGATTGGAGACTAATGGGTTCAGGGCATACAAGTCGAACGTTTCCTTGTGTTGTCGTGCAGATAGTTAATAGAAAAAATAAACTTGAAATGAAGAAAGCCATTTGTATTTATTTAGATCTAGATCTAGCTGAGTATTATTACGTTTAACTTCAGTTGCTTGTTTCCATTCTGCTACACTTAATATTCGACCCGGAAGTATTATGTAAATGAGTAGTACATTTTCGATTTCGTATTTTATCTGAGAGCCCAGCATCACACCTGCCCACTTCCTAATAGCATACGATAATTTTAATTGCCTGGTATTTGTTTTATAGCAAAGCTTAAGAGAGTTATATTATTGTTAACCTTTTAAAAATGATTTCCTTCCCCATCGTTACAAATTGCCTCAAATAGAGGGTGATCAATAAACGATGACACGCCTTTTTTGACAATTTTACCTACACCCCTCCACCGTCACACATCGTCATGAAAAGCCAACACACCCTAATGTCACACCTCAGGCTACAACTCCTGCGCTCCCCCAATAAAATTGTGGTATTTTAAAAAAAAAACACTCGTTTTCTTTCTAAAATATTTCCACAGCTCGGTTAAATTGTTGCTATATTAATCAGTCAATTACAATTAACAAAAACAGTATTTTAAAAAAAGGGAAAAGAAAATAGTTTTAAAAATGTTAGTTTCTAACCTTACTGTGACAAAAGTGTGTCGTCACACTTTCTGAGCCTCCATTCCATCTCGTCACACAATACCGAACCCCCCCCCCCCCCCGTTAAGTGTTTCTTCCAGACTTTTTTTCTCCGGGGGGGGCACTTAAAATTTTCGGGGGGAGGGGGCGGTAGACTTTCTTCGGGGGGGGGGGCACTGTTAAATGTATATATTTTCTATATAAATTCCATTTCGTTCGGGGGGGGGGGCGGTAGACTGTAAGAAACTCTGCCCCGTCCTCCCTTTCCGTTCAGTTCAGAGGCGTAGCGACCCTTCCCGGCGCACGGGGACAAACTTATGATTTGCACCCCCCTTCAAGCTTTCGATTGCCCCCCCCCCCCCTCAAACTTTCGATTTGCACCCTTCCCTCAAGCTTTCAATTATTTATTTTTTTCCAACCCATTTTGGCGCCCCCTAAGGTCGGCGCCCGGGGACCAGTGGCGTGCAGAGGTGTGTAGATGCCCGGGGCAACTGAAGGAGAGGATGCCCCCCCCCCCAACCCCACCCCCTATGTATATATATATATATATATATATATATATATATATATATATATATATATATATATATATATATATATATATATGTTATAATAACTTATAATACATACATGTATTGGAGTTTATAAGAGCTAATTCTGAGATCACCAGAATCGGTCATACAATATAAATAAGTACACATTGAATAGAATAGTATATAAACAAAATAATACAGTTCAATAATTAGTTACGGTTCCCCAGGTGTGCCCTTCTTTCAGAAAATGTCTTCACCACCTCCTGCTTGACATCAGCTGTTAAGAATTCTTTTTCAATACTTATCAGAGCTAGATTTGTTAGCCTCTCATTTGACATTGAGGACCTTAGATGTGTTTTAATTAATTTAAGTTTAGAAAAAGACCTTTCACAACTAGCGATTGAAAACGCAATTGTGAGAAGTATCCTATATGCTATACATACTGTTGTGAATACATCACATCCAAATTCTATTAGTGATTGTAGTACATCTTTTGGCTCACACGGAACTGTGGATCCTGCAGCTCGAATGAGTATCACAAAGTCAACAATTTCATCAAACAAGCTTGCACCCGTAACATCGTTGTCGTAGAATTTAGCAAATTCGTCACAATCGCATTTCAATTGCTGTTTCTCCTTTTCGTCGTCTATTTTAACAGAATTTAGATTCAACAAAAACGAAAACCGGTTTTTCAAAACTTCAAGCCGAACACTGCGATCATTAATTTCCATTTTTAACCGATTGATAATCTCATGCATTACTCGGTTGATTTCCTGCTGTGCCGTTAGTCCAACATCTCTTGTTGTTTCACCAGCCATCATATTTCTTCTTGTTCGAGCTATAGGTATTTCCCATTTGTCACAATATTCATTTGATGAAATTATCGCGGTGTTAATTATATCTTCAGCCTTAAAGTTTAATATTTCAGCTAGCCCTTTTAAATCTTGAGATGCTTGATGAAATCCCATTTTCGGATCTTGTAATCGTTTTGAAACTTTCTGCACTGCTGCTAAAATAGCACACCAAAATTCAACAAAGACAAAAAGTTAAACTGTTGAATAGCGTTTAAAAGCGATCCAGCGTCAGAGTTCGTATCTGTTGAAAAATCTCCTTCTTGTAAATGTTCAAGGCTAGAAATGATATTATCTATTTCTTCTTGAATTGCATGTACAGCATCATATCATGAGCTCCATCTTGTGTCACAGTGTCTTTTGACTGATAATTTAGTAAATGTTTTTAATACTTCCCAGCGTGAACACGATGATGTAAAAAAAGTGAAAACTTTTTCCACGGTTCCAAAAAAAGTGACTACAACAGGTTGAACTTCACTTGCATGAACGCATGCTAAGTTAAGGCTGTGGTTTTCGCAATTAACAAAAACTGCCTTTGGGTTAATGTCGATAATTTTTCTTTGAACGCCTCCTTTAACCCCTGCCATAACTGATGCATTATCATATGATTGACCACAACAATCAGTAATAGAAATACCATCTTCTGCCAACTTTTCTAACATTTTACTTACCAAGCTTTCTGCATCTTTTTTATTTACCTGAAAATAACCCAAAAATACTTCCTTTATTTCAACTTTTTTGTTTTCATTAATGCGCACATACCTCATAATGTGAGATACCTGATCTTCATGCGAAATATCTGGAGTTGAATCTACCATTATTGTATAATATTTTGCAGCCTTTATTTCTAAAATAATTCGACTCTTTATAGTTTTGCAAAGGAGATCAATAATTTCATTTTGAATCCTATTAGATAAGTATGTGACACCTTTAGGCGTGTCCTTCTCTCTCTGCAGGTGATCAGCTAAAACAACATCATATTTTGCCATAAGCCTAACTACTGCTAGGAAATTCCCGGTGTTTTCACTGATTGTTTCTTCTGGCTTTGCTAAAGCCCACATTCCTTCTCCTCGATGTCCCCGAAAAGCCATGTTCTGTTTGGCCATGAATGAAATTATTTCAACAATCCTTTCAGTTATGGCTACCCATTTTTTCTTTTCTGTAGATATTTGCTCTTGTAGCTCAGCATCTATTGTGGTGCATTGCCTAAGTCGAACAACAAGGTTCAAGTTTTCCCTCATGTACGCTCTATGAGATGGACTTTTCTCGTGATCCGGTATACGGGGATTCAGCTTTCTCCATTTGGAGAACCCTTTTTCCAGGCTAAAATTTGATGCTGACGACGACTGCTCGTTTGAAAACAAAAAACAAACAAAACAATAACAGACGTTTTTATGTGGAGAGTACAGCCGCCATTTTCTCTGCACAACCTCGCCATTTGTCGAGTGCTTCTCAAACCACTGTTTGGTAAAAGATCTGTCATCTTTGTCACATGTTGGGCGAAATGGACCATTTTTGTGCTGATATTTTTCTGGGCCGCATTCAACTATTGTCATCTTTAGCTGATCTGGAATATGCTTTCTCAAATAGCCAAAATCATTTTCTTTCAAAAACATGCACAGATCCGTATCATCGCGCTCACGGGTGTCACTAGTCGTGCTAGAGACTGCATTTGGTTCAGGCTGACAAGGGTTTATATCAGAACAATCGTGTGAGGTTGATTGTCCTGAACACGCATCGTCTTTCACTTCTACATCAACATTTCTTCTTTTGATCCATGCATTTAATGCGCCTCTTTGAAGGTGTTCAGTTTCGTCTCTGGTCCTCTTTTTCTTTCTATTCTGTGCTCCGCTCGGTTGTACTTTCTTCATATTGCTTAAATTTTGTTAAAATTTACTAGATCTATGTCAATCCCAAATTATCGGCAATTAGGGCAGCTAATATACTACTTCCCTGCTTATTTATGTCCCCCAATACACTGTTTTAAAAAAAAAGGAGCGGGCCTTAAAAAATTAAGATGTAATTAGTTTTATTGTTTTGTTTATAATTTACGCAAAAGTTGAAACTTCTCACTTAATGTGATTTGCTGTTTACTAAAATATCAAATCACTTTTGGCAAGTTAACAAATCACTAAAGAGAATTTAATCACAAGCAAAAATAAAATAAATAATTCGAAAATCGCTCTAATGCAATAAAGTGGTTATTGTTCGTTCAATGGCCAGTGGTTAATATAAAAGTCATGCGTTTAGGTATATTATATAAAGAGACAGTGTTAGTAAGCACACAATTTTAGATAAATTACAATATCACCCAGCATTAGTGGTTAAAATTAAAACAAATAGGAAAACATTGACAGATTTGGACACTTAGCTCGAATTGTGGGAAAAACACTGTTTTCGGCTATAGAATCCAAGAGAAATGTCTCTCAAATGTAATAAGAACGCTCAGTAGTGTGGGGTTTAGGGGTGGGTGACAGTAGATGCTTCGAGATTTGGGGTGGGTGAAAGTTGGGGGGGGGGGGGGTAAGGTGAAATATCACGCAGACTGTGCATTTAAATTTATGGCTATGGGATGGAACATCCCCAAAAAAAAGTCTCCAGATTCGAGTACTACATTACTGGATCTCTGGCCGTGCCAATAGAGCGTCCAGGTATTACATTACCGGTCTTACAATAGGAGGTTTGTGCCTAAAGTGAGGGGGGGGGGGGACAAGTGACAGCCAGCTACACCTTATTGATGTGTTTTTCGACGGTACGACCGGGCGGCCGCGAATGCCGGTAAGGGGTCATCCATTTATGACGTCCACACCATTTTGGGATTTTGAACCCCCCTCCCCCCTGTCCACAAACGTCCACTTTTGACGGAGCCCCCCCCCCCATGTACGTCCACACTGACTATAAGTTTTTGCATAATCTTCTTCCACTATTACTCAAACAACTGCATTAAGTGTGTATATACTCTGAGTGTATATAATATTACAACATTTTTTTTATCATTTTCATATTTCAAACTAACCGAAAAATCCCATTAATAAAACACAGGAGACCAAAATATTTATTACCAAAAAATATTATATTCCTAAAATGAAATGCAATTCTTACCTGTATCCTTTTTGGGTTGCCTGGCCCAAAATGATAAAGATCGGGACTGATTTATCCTGATGACGTCCTGCAGTTCAACTAATTTAGCTGTAAATTAAATTGTTCTTCTGGCTGCCTCTTTAAATTAAGCCATAGGCTATTAACCTCTTTTTGAAGTTGATATTTCAATTTGGAAGGATAAGCCTTTTGATACAAATCATTTAATTTAGCATATTTCGCGGTGTTTTGACTAGCCATTATTTCGCACACTTGTAGTCGCATTGACACTGTTATATTACTGAGTCCAACGTTGATGCTAGTGTGTATTAACGCCCCCCCCCCCTGTCCCACACCTGAACAGGGACAGCGTGCTATGCCCCCCCCCCTCCACCCCTCTCCCGTCTCACAACTGAACTGGGATAACCCCGCATGCAATGCAGGTCGCCTGGTATTTGACATGGGATGCAAATGTGGGGAAAAACGTAATTGGATCCTATTGTATTCGAGGTTAAGCCAGGGCATAGACCCAAGCTGGGTGGTGGGCCAGAGAGATAGGACAGATGAACGTTAGCTTCGCAAGGAAATATTTTTCTTTCACACTACCAAAAATAATGTTAGATTTAATGTGTGGACGTCCACATTGGGCCACCCCCCCTCCCCCTGTCCACACGCGGCCACAAAAGTCAATTTTTTTCGGACCCCCCCCCCCCCCAGTGTGGACGTCATAAATGGATGACCCCTAATTAAGAAGTGTGAGACTTAAGGACAACTTTAGAATGAAGTTAACTCGGCCCGGCCCAGTGTATCAAAACAGTACGGACTTGAAAGTTTGTATTTAACCGTACACAAAAATCCAAATGGCCATGAATAAAGAATATCATTAGAATAAAAAAAAACCAATAGGCTGTGTGCTTAATCAGTCTACGAATGCCGTTACGTCCATCATAATAAATAAGGATGCCCTACAAACATTATGCAATGAATAGAAACATAATAAAGATGCCCGATAAAATATAAAGCGAACAAGGGCATAATTACTGTAGGGATGCCCTTCAGACATTCAATAATGAATATAAGCATAATAAATATCCGATAATATATAAACGAATATGGGCATAATTGCTGTAATTATATAAATACAAACGTGAATACAAGTAAATGACTTTAAAGATGCCCTGACGATATATAAAATGTATGCGGGCATAATTACTGTTTGGATGCCCTTCAAAAGTATTATGATGAATATAAGCAAATTACATTAAAGATGCCCCAACAGTGTGTAAATTATAATCATGGGCTTTAATACTCTATGGATGACCACAAAGTATAAAATGATTATGGGCGTGTTCTCTAAAAGATGCCCCTACAGTGTGTAAATTATAATCATGGGCTTTAATACTCTATGGAGGACCACAAGTGTATAAAATGATTATGGGCGTGTTCTCTAAAAGATGCCCCTACAGTGTGTAAATTATAATCATGGGCTTTAATACTCTATGGATGACCACAAGTGTATAAAATGATTATGGGCGTGTTCTCTAAAAGATGCCCCTACAGTGTGTAAATTATAATCATGGGCTTTAATACTCTATGGATGACCACAAGTGTATAAAATGATTATGGGCATGTTCTCTAAAAGATGCCCCTACAGTGTGTAAATTATAATCATGGGCTTTAATACTCTATGGATGACCACAAGTGTATAAAATGATTATGGGCATGTTCTCTAAAAGATGCCCCTACAGTGTGTAAATTATAATCATGGGCTTTAATACTCTATGGATGACCACAAGTGTATAAAATGATTATGGGCATGTTCTCTAAAAGATGCCCCTACCTACACAAGTATCAGATACTCTATTAATTGAAAGACTGCATACATTTATTCGGGGAATATCAATGACTACTACACCACTACCCTTCACCGATGCCCCTTTCTCCCTGAAGGTTGTACGACACGGACAGTACGATGACTATATCAGTGTATCAGTGCCATGTGTTGATTGTATATACACATTTCGGTGAATTCGGCAAATTGTGATAATTTGATAATTCTGCCTAGGTAGACAAACCTTAGTAGACATTTAGCTTTCCTAAAAAAAAAAAAAAAAAAAAAAAAAAAAAAAAAAAAAATCAAATTTTTTTACCCCCTTTGGATGCCCCCTTGATGTGGCTGCCCGGGGCCTGGGCCCCCTCCGCCCCCCCCTCTGCACGCCACTGCCGGGGACATATGGTCCCCCCCCCCCTCGCTACGCCTCAATTCAGTTCATCATAAAAACACGGCTATGAAAGTGAAATAAGTCACTGCGAAAAGTATACGCCGCGAGAAAAATATCATCTGGTTACCAAGCAGAGTAAAATATTGCCAGTTTTTAGCGCAATTTCCATTCTGGAGAATTGCGTTTATTAACTCGTCTTTTATGGGAATGGATGAATGGATGGATGGATGTGTGTCCGCAGCTTTAAGTCGTATCTCCTCCTCAACGAAGCAATATCGAGGACTATAGTTCCAAAAGCAAATATGTTAAGCAAGTTACCAGGATGAACATAGGCCAAAAAAATTCCGGGTTTCTTTCATGGATTTCCCGGAAAAGCCAAAAAACCTCGAAAAAAGGCAGTGTTTGGCCCATATCTCGGCAACCAGATCACTTAGCGACTTGAAACATGTACCAATCGATTCCTGCCATAATTTAAAACAATATTGCCGAAGAAAGTTTTCAAAAATATCCTTTCGTTTGGTCACAAAAATTTTTTTGAATTAATTAAAATTTGGACCGAATTAGTAGGCATTTTATCCAACCACACCACACGCGTCATCACGTTCAATAGCTGCACCATCACGTTCAATGGCTGCGACATCACGTTCGGTAGCTAGGCGCGCAATGGTTTTTAGTCATGTTACTCTATTGTAAATAAAACATGTAAAATACTGAATTTTTTTAAAATAAAAAACGTTTTAATAACTAACCAATGGTTTTACTAACCCTGCTCTTGATTTACGCTACGACAGAGCTATTTTTAGATAACATAAGGAAATTGCGCTAAAATTGTCACTAGACTTTTTAATTACCTTGTTTTTATCATAAATTAACACCACAAGCATTAGACAAAATTTTAACCTTCTCCTCTATACTTTCGCTACAATAGCATAACAAGACGCCTGATCGGATTGTGGGGAGGGGGGATGTTAAATGTGTCGTAGCATATGTCAAGAGTGATCAATGATTTTAATAAAGGACTAAATTTTCCGTAGGGGGGGGGTGGACACTGTTAAAAGTATATATTTTATATATTTAATTCTTTTTCGTTGGGGGGGGGGGGGGGGGGGGGGGGAGGGGGGCAGACGTTTTCGGGGGTTGTGGGTGCTTACCCCTCTCTCCATCGAAAAGATACCAGAGAGAAACTCTGCCTACGTAGCCAATCATTCATTGTCGTCACCAGGCTGATGTGCATTCGCTTGAGATTAAACATTTTATTATTGAACTTAGTTATCTTTCAATTAATTGTTAACGACTTAGTTAATATCCCATTGGATTAGAAATGAAATATTCTAGTGTTGTCTTCAAATACTAATGCATCTGTAAAGTTAAATGAAATCGTTGCATGGAACGTATATATCGGTCAAAATTGAGTCATAGAATTAGAATTCGTGACAAACCCAAAGCCAAACAGACATTGTGAACTAAAGCTTATAATAATGAGAACGCACAGACCTTTTAATAATTTTATTCTATTGTACAAGTTTATTTCCTAACAATGTTATCTTCACCGCAATATATATTTATGAACCATAGATGGCAACAAACTCAACTTTGCAGTAAGTAAACATGAATTGCACAACAAATGAGACATACTGAAAACACATTATAGACTTAGAATTTTTTTGTTAATAATTTTATTATTTATTTTATAAAATACAAAAAAAAAAGAAAATAATTAAAAAATAAAAATTAGCAAATCAAACAAACAAAAAAAAAAAAAATCAATAGCAAACAGTTACATGGATAAAAAAAACAAATTTAAAAAAGCCTTTTAATTCTTCACATCCGAGGGGACCCCGCCCACTTGCTGAGAGAAGGCCTCTATAGCGTCTCCATCCTCTAGGCCCAGCTTATCGGGCGTGTCGGCCTCCTGCACGCGGTCCCCGTCGTACATAAACTTGATGGTACTCATCTGATAGTTGTACTTATCGCAGTACGCCCTCATCAAGATACTCATGGGCTCGTACCTACCGAGCTCCACGTTGATGCACTTACGCTGTTGGTCCACACATCTCAGGTCTACTTTGTTGGGGTCTCGGCGTGGTGGCCGGCAGTTTTCTTGGAGTTCTTCAATTTTTTCTAAATTAGATATTGAACACACGATGTTAATGGCGGTAGAAACAAAATTATATGAAATTAAAGTATCTGAATAAATGCAAATTGGTTGGTGATGTTTTAGCGTGGAGTTCTACGTGCAATATCTACATGTGTTGCAAGAATGTCTAGAAAGAAAATTTTTTATATTTATGTATACATATGAGACAAAGTTAGAAGCACCAGAGGCTTAAAGATTCTTAATTTGTGTACAAAATTATTTTTTTTCAAGTAACAAATACAACAATATCTTCTTTAATTAAACGATGAACACTTTTCTATGTAAATGTAAGCAGACATAAAAAATATTAGTGGCAATAACAAGCTAATAGACCCTCAACCCAACCCTTCAATTTTAGAAATAAAATTAATATTAAGGAAGTATTTAAATTTTTAAATGTGAGTTGTAACAAAAAGAAATTTCAAAACAACTACTACCCCCCCCCCCCCCAACTTCAACCTACCTGTCAGTTCTTTGATTTGACTCTTCATTACCGACTCGTTCATCTTCGTCATGTCTGTGTAATGTTTCTGTAATTTCTGAATTTGTTGCTGATGCGTATCGTTCAAACTCTTCACGTTTTCTTTCCATCGCTTATCCTCTTCTTCTTTTACTTTCTGCATCTTGGCGTTAAACTCTTTGAGTATGTTTTCTTCGCGCTTCTTCGCGGACTGTTCATTTTCTTTCATTTTTTGCAAAATCTCACTTTTTTCATTTTCGCTTGCATTTCTTAATTGTACCAAATACTTGTTCTCTTCTTCAGCCTTCTTTCTTTTCATCTCTTCCATTTTTACCTCATGTTCTTTAGCCAGTAGCTGCCTTTTCATTAAATCGTCTTTTTTATTTTGTTTCGATACTTTTATCTGCGCGAGAGTGGAATTGAGTTTATCGATTTCTTCAAGTAAATAATTTAAAGCACCCGTCTCTTTGTCTTCACTTTTGATAACTTGGCTGAGGTTCTCAATCTTTTGACCAATAGTAGATAACTCTGTGTCAATTTCATTCAAATTTTCATCTGTGATTTTTAAACGACTCATAGCCTCAATGATTAGATTCGTTTCTTTCATAATCTCAGCTTTGATAAGTGGTTCTTTCGCCTGAACGATTAGTTTCTCCCTTCCGTTCTTCACGACTTCGAACAACGAACTCGTGTACCTGACCTCTCGGTGTTTCAGGGTTCGAACCATCTGCAGCAATTCAATCACCTGGTCTCGTTTTTCTTTCTCGTCTTTTGTTCGGTTTCTGAACAATATACACCTGTAGCTGCACTCAATCAACAGGTGTTTAAGTGGGCCAGACTGCTTGCTCAGCCATTCAGGAAAATTTTCAACATTCATATCTTCTTTATTGAGATCAAAACTATCACCGTAGGTCATGATAATAATGCAATAATCCCTCACTATGTTTTCACCGAATATACTTTTCAACATGCAGATCGTTTCTTGTTCTTCCTCAGTGAACCTCACGCCAAACTTCAGGACCATTAACAGAGCATGGAATCCATTGGGACATCGCGTCACTGCTTCAGCCATATCCTTGCAGGCTTTCTCTGTAGCTTTGACGCTGTCTAATCGAGTTTCACCAACCCCCGGGCCGTCGACCACATGCACAGTGTAGTCTTCAATGTCCGTCCAAAGCTCCTGGACATCGTACGTGTCCGAGGAGGCGTCGGAAGACGTGCTGAAGACTTTTCTTTGCGCGATTGAATTTCCGGTTGCACTTTTGCCATGGCCAGTTTTTCCAATGAGGAGAAGGTCAATGTCCTGCTTGACCACAACTCTTGCTGGTTGTGGGCATGGTGCTGGAGCAGAATTAACGCCCGTTGCCTGATCATTTTCTGAGAATGCATCATCGTCGTCACCATCACTGTTGGTAGAATCGTCCGTCTGTATGCCACTTGTGTCGTCGTGTAGACTGCAGTCAGAGACCCTTCTGAAATTTGATTCCAGACCTTCTGGTGAAGGCCTTGTTGATCCAGAGTTACCCCCTTGCAGATTTGTATCTACAAATGATCTCCCCGGACTAATCAGTGGAACGGGTACAGCTTCGTTTCTCTCATCTCTCGTTGAATCTTGTCCTTGCCGTAAGATATTCGGTCGACTCTGTTCTCTCACCTGATCCACCTCCCTGTGTAAACTGTTGGGCGGACTCTCTCTACTAAGCCCATCTGTTTCATCAGCTTCAATTTTTACCTTTATAACATACTTAGTAATCAAACCAACAACGATTTTGACAATATAATCTTTGACGAGTCTCATGTGTCTGATAACCGTTTCATTTCTGGAACAGTACCAGGACACACAAACTGCCAGTGTGGCAGTTAGAACATGCCAGAGAATTCCAGAAAGCCACATACTCAAGCACACCGAAACAACACATCCAATGCCAATTGCCTTTTTTCTATCCAAATCCATCTTTTTTTTTACTATTTCACGATCGGAATACCAAATTTACGTTATGTTGATCTGAAATATTAGAAATAAGTTTATTATCTAGCTATGTTGACCGCCACATAGGCCTAAGGGTATAACTTTAATCACTATTAATAATATAGTATTACTACTATTCACACATTTTATTTCCAGAATAATTTTATCAAAATTAAATTCAAGATATTTACTAAATTCGTTTAAAAAAATTCTAAATAAAACTAACTAAAATTCGTAGATTCAACAAAGAAGCCCGAAAAACAAGATAATGGTATAGTTAATTTTTAAATCTATTTCGGGAAATCCTTATCTCATTTAATATATTACGTGTTTTATTTCCAAATATAAGTTGCAAGCTAATCAAACCGAGGCCAATATTTCAGGAAACTCCAAGGCTTTCATTGAAATATCTCATTTCAGAATTTCCCAAAATTACTACATTCAATTAACATAGATAGTTTAGCCTTAAATAAGAACTTTATTAGTTTTTATAAATAGTAATCGGAAGTTAGTTTCATTATATTATTATTATGTCCTTTTATTTTCTTATTGTATATCACTATTATATCGATTACAAGTATTTTTTATCATATAGATCAAGGCATAAAATTTTAAATATCATAATTTTCTAAAAGCAATATGATAAATTAATAGTAAATTAACTAATTATCAAAATTATTTATTTATTTATAAAGTAGTTCATTATTTACCTCATGCGTATATAAGAATTCTACTTTAAAGACAAATAAGATAATTTTTTGACGAGCTAAGTCGCTATAATTTTAAAAGCTTTCATGAAAATAAAACATCAACATCGACAGATTATTTTAAAATGACAACCAAACTCGTTAACCGATTGTGAAGGTTAGTTTCTAAATATGTCTGGTTTTAAGTGCCGAAACTGAAAACGGGACTTGTAATCCGTGTAAAATGGTTTCAGTTTTGGTAACGATAAGATGTTTTCCCCAGGAAAGCGGTAAGTCCGTTTATGAGATTTTCCAGACTACGCTAGAACTGTTGACAAAGTTGACACTGTCATTGATCAAAGTCTTCCAAGAAAACGGAAATTCCATCTATTCTGTTAGAAACGTTAGCTAATTGACCTTTCCTCCATCTTGATAAAGGTTTTCTTGCTGGTAAGTTATACTTTTATTTATCAATATTTTGTTACAATGGTTTCAAAATAGCCAGCATATGTCCAAATAATGTTTTTTTTTTATTTCTATTAAAACATTTTTAAAATGCTTACTTCTTTTATTTGAAAATAGTGGATTTTTTTTCAAAACTTAATTGTCTTTTTCTTAGTAAGTTAGAAACAAAGTTTTAATCGGGGTTCTAGTTAATTTTAAGTATTACTTATTAAAAGGAAAACACGCCCGTTACATTTTATGATAAACAACAAACTGTCTATAGGCTTGAAATTACTAGTTTTAATGTCTTTAATCTTTTAATAACATCACACAAAACGGATCGAGCTCGTTTTAATGTCTTTAATCTTTTAATAAAATCACACAAAACGGATCGAGCTCGTAGTTATTTGTAAAGTTATTACCGTGTTTTCCATATATGTTAAAGACTTAAAAACAATTCGTCTAACTTTTCCAGTTATATGATACAGCCTTTTACCATTCTAAATGCGCTAGAAGATTTAAAAATCTTTAATTCAACTTTGTACAAGTTCTATGTTTTAAGGCCTCCAAATATCATATTATTTGTTATTTACACAATTGTATTCTGAAAGTGTAAAATCGCTACCATATCTTCATATTTTTGTCCTGTGTTTCTTCCAGGCGTCTGTTGGGAGCCCCCCCCCCCCCCCGAAGAAAGTCTAACCCTCCCCAATCGAAATGTAAATTTATATAGAAAATATATACTTGTATCAGTCTTTTATATACTTTTATACTTTTATCAACCCCCCCTCCCAGGAAAATATCAAGTGCCGCCCTCCCCCTCTCCCTCCCCAGAGAAAAAAATCTGGAAGAAACACTGTTTGTGTCCATAATGACTCTATCCTATCTGTATTTCAGTTAGAAAATTAAAATTCATGAGTAGTCACACTCAGAGGTGTAGAGTTCCCCCCCGGCGCCCGAGGACAACCTTTCAATAATTTGGCGCCCCCCCCTGCCATATATGTACCCCCTCCCCCCCCCCCCGGTCGCTTCGCCTCTGACACTATAATATTTTATTTAGATTTCCATGAAATTCGTTTGCCCACAGTAAACGTTTTATGCCTGGGGCTTTCCCAGTTGATTGGAACTTTCCTAAAATGTCGTGGCTCATGATTTTATAAGCGTACACCCTTTTCAAAATGCTTCTTTTTAAAATTCTTTTGCTTTTTTATAGCGTCTTATAGCAAAAAACAAAACAAAAAACGGAAATATTAATAAAATATAAGCAGAAGAAACATAAAATTACGTTTAGACCTCAGGTCTTCGTCAAGCTGAATAATAAAAGCAGCAGGACGATAAGAATAACTTTAAAGTTTTAAATTTATTTTCTTTAAAGTTTCTTTTTTTAAATTGCTAGTTTAATATTATCGACAGCCTCATGTAGTTGAAGGCTGAAATGTTATAAAGACTCTTTCAAAATGTGGCAGGATCGTCACATGTATCCAATAAAGTGCTGTTGCGTTGTATCTGCCATTTGGTAGTAGCCTACGTGCTTATTTGAAACTATGACTTCTGAAATATACCAGTCTTATGTGGGCAAGAAACCCTTTACGTTCTTCAATCTACAATGAGAATGGCAGTGTTTGACACAACTCACAAGTTATCTAAAGGCTTAGTGATAACCTATTTTAAAGCCGTGTTAAACTATTCTTATTTAATATCAATGCACGGTATTATATGCTAATACAATATGGACAATAATAACTAGAACGGAAAATACTCACAACTTACAGTGGTTTTTGTCTATTGAAATATAAAATGAAATCCATCTTGTCGTATTCCTCTCAAAAGGAAAGTATAACTTTGTGAATATTGAGATTGAGCATAGTGTAATCGGTGTCAACTGCTCAAAACACAAAACATGGAATAAACAAAAAACAAGGTAATTAAAAAGTCTAGTGACAATTTTAGCGCAATGTCCTTATGTTATCTAAAAATAGCTCTGTCGTAGCGTAAATAAAGAGCAGGGTTAGTAAATCCATTGGTTAGTTATTAAAACGTTTTTTATTAATTTTTTTCAGTATTTTACATGTTTTATTTACAATAGAGTTACATGACTAAAAACCATTGCGCGCCTACTGAACGTGATGGCGCAGCCATGGAACGCGATGGCGCAGCTATTGAACGTGATGACGCGTGTGGTGTGGTTGGAAAAAATGCCTACTAATTCGGTCCAAATTTTAATTAATTCAAAAATTTTTTTGTGACCAAACGAAAGGATATTTTTGAAAACTTTCTTCGGCAATATTGTTCTAAATTATGGCAGAAATCGATTGGTACATGTTTCAAGTCGCTTAGTGGTCTGGTTGCCGAGATATGGGCCAAAAACTGCATTTTTTCGATGTTTTTTGGCTTTTCCGGGAAATCCATGAAAGAAACCCGTAATTTTTATGGCCTATGTTCATCCTCGTAACTTGCTTAACATAATTGCTTTTGGAACTAGTCATCGATATTGCTTCGTTGAGGAGGAGATACGACTTAAAGCTGCGGACACACATCCATCCATCCATCCATACATTCATATATCCAGAAATGACGGGTTAATAAACGCAATTCTCCAGAATGGAAATTGCGCTAAAAATAAAATAAAATACATTATTCAAGATGTGAAATTGTACAAACCGCAATTAATTTGTATTTTCAGCCGCCCTAACTTGGCTGTTATTGGCTGGAGGCGAAGATGGCAGGCGGTAGAGATCTGACCAGGTATATTGAAAGATCACCCGGATACCTTGTCGGTGAGATAAGACGAGGCTTGGACGTGAATTCACGAGACCGAGACAATAAAACCTTATTAATTCTCGCAGCGGAGCTTGGAAAACCCGAACATCTTCTTGAGATACTCAAACACAAACCTTACGTCAATGCACGTGACAGCGAAGGCATGACGGGATTGATGTACGCGGCCGCCATGCCGCACGTGGGGAACGTGAGCAATCTTCTGAAACACGGAGCAGACGCGAATTTAGTAAACAGACACGGGCAAACGGCTTTAATTCTCGCTACTTACACGGCAAACAAAAAATGTATTGAGCTGTTAATTAAACATAAAGCAGATGTAAATATTGTTGATAGCACCAATAGCACTGCATTGACCATCGCGGTTTTAAAACAAGAATCTGGATTATTGGATATATTATTGAACACAAACGTGAATTTAAAAACCCTCCAAACCGCTCTGAGTACGGCACTTTCTAATCAACAAGAAATAATAGCCATGAAAATTAAAAGTACTGTACAGAGAATTATGGGAACCACTTATTTTGACTCACAAGCAAGCCCTGTTACCTACCCTGTGACAAACAGCTATGGCCCTTACACCTTGGTAGGAAATCAGCACATCGTGGATAGCATGGGGTCACTTGGTGCTGTCGGTCCAATCTACTTTAAGGACTTCAGGGACGGTAACTGTTCTTGTTCTCCGACAGCAAAGTACGGCGACAAATTAATTTTAGCAGCTAGAAGCGGAGATGATACATCTTGTTTACAATTGTTAGAGATGGGTGTTGATGTGAATATCAGGAGCCTTGATGGTACGACAGCGTTAATTCTGTCTGCCCGAAACGGACATGAAGCCTGTATGAGGGTACTTCTTGCATACACCCCGGATGTAAATCACATGAATGAGAATGGTGACACAGCTTTGATGATGGCGTCCTACGCGGATCATCCTGTGTGTGTCGAACTGTTGCTGGAGTATGGCGCTGATGTAAACCTGGCAAACTCTCAAGGAGACTCGGCCTTGACCTTAGCTGCGGTACACGCTGACCTAGAGTGTAATTTGTTACTACTTAATGCAGGGGCGGATTTGACTCACAGGAATTCAAAGGGATTTCATGCACGCGATGTCGCAAAACAGAATCGAAGAGGTGATTTAGTTGAGTTATATGAGTGCGCTTATACCGCAGACAGAGACGCAGGAAACGTACACGGAAATGCGGTAGAAGTAGCAACGAAGCATAATAATGAGAATGAAGATTTATCATTGTGCACACAAATGCAAAATCTTACCCTAGAAAGTGATATAACCATCACGCATACTAAAATAAATACATCTCAGACTGACATAAAGACTTTACAAAGTTATAAAACCATCATACAAAGTGATATAAATCATTTGCAAATTAACACAAACAACCCACAAAGTGATTCAAACATTTGTATAATAACACGAGTTTCTGTCTCTGACTTTGAACGCGAGATTCTGCAACAGTTAGAGCACGTAGATAACCTCGACAAAAATATTTTGAAAGGTTTCATTCCTCTAATGGTTGAAAGCCTCCTCGGTGACAGTTTGTCCCGGAGTAAACTTATCACTTTATCCCAGCGTTCACACACAAACATTAACATGACAGAAGATTCAATTGGAGTAGAATTTATTGATTCACAGATGTATCTTCAACTGACAATATTACCAAATACTGAGGGGACATGTTTCGTTCCAATCACAATTTCAATGTACAGAGTAATTGGTCATGTTCCCTTAGATTTATTCAAACTTAATTTTTATATTAAAGTTGATAAACCCTCACAGTTTAAAGAAAAACAAGGAGTGGGCAGTGTTACTCTTGCATCGGCAATAAATGATGGTGATTATAACTTAATAAAGATAGCAGTTGCAAGTCTAAATAATGTGAATGATCAAACACCAGACGGCATCACACCATTGATGTACGCAGCTTATAGAGGCAACACATTTTGTCTGGAGCTGCTTTTAGCTGAGGGAGCTAAACCAGACCTCGCAGACAGACAAGGCACCACCGCCTTAATGTTTGCTGTCCTCGCCAACTCCCCTGAATCTGTACACGTCCTACTGAACCGTGGTGCCACCTTTAACGTAATGGACGACAAGAAAAACACGGCATTCAGGATTGCTGTGTTAAAAGGATTCCACGACTGCGTGAAATTATTAAATTCTGCGTCAGAAAATGGAAAACTTAGAAACGAACGTGAAAACTGGAGCTCGGATTTAGTACTTGCGGTTGAAGACAACCATACGGAATGTGTACTGAACATTCTAGAAGCTGGTTTTAAACCTGATGCACAGGACCAGCATGGCAAGACGCCATTAGTCAGCGCCATATTGTCTGAAAACAAGGAAATCTTTGACATTCTCATCAGTAAAGGTGCAAACGTGAACCTTCCTGCTGTAGACAATGTAAGTCCTCTAATGGCCGCAGCTTGGATAGAAAATGTATACTTTCTTGTAAGACTTATTGAGATGAAAGCGGATCTGGATAGGCAAGATGTGAAGGGGTGTACAGCGTTAATGTTTGCCTGCGAGAAAGGGAACATTGAGTGTGTGAAAAAACTTGTAGAACATGGCGCGGATATAGAGAAACGAACAAAGTATGGAGAAACAGCTTTAACTGTTGCTATTTCAAATGGATACTTAGAATGTGTAAAATTAATAGAAGAGCAACATCGAAAAGTAATATCGCCTCCAGATGATGCAAAAGCCTTAAGTGAAAAAATCCTGTGCGCGACATGGAATGGGGACGAAAGTATGCTTGAAAAATATTTAAAAGAGGGCGTATCTCCTGACGACAAAAATAAAGCTGTACTTATTGCTGCAGCTAAGGGAAAATTAAACATAGTTAAAACTTTGGTAAAAAATGGCGCTAATGTGAACGTATGTGACGTATACGGAGTAACACCCGTGATGGAGTGTGTAATGGGGAACCACACTGATTGTCTGAAGGAGTTAGTGAAACAAAAGGCTAACCTTGACCATCAAAACATCAACGGCGTTACAGCGTTAATGTTGGCAGCCGTTAACGGACACGATGAATGTTTAACTATTTTAATTCAACACAAATCGAAACTACAATCAATTAACCAACAAGATGATGACGGTGTTACTGCCATGATGCATGCGACAAAAAACAACCACTTTCAATGCGTAGAACTTCTATTGAAAGCTGGAGCATCTCCCGATCGAAGGGACACAAATAAAAACACCGCATTAATGTATGCTGCTGAAAGGGGTCACACAGCTTGTGTTAAGCTCCTACTCAAATACTATGCAAACAGGAATGCAACAAACAATGCTCGTCAAACAGCATACCATTTGGCTAAAAAAAATAATCATACAGATTGCTATAAAATTTTGGAATAAAAACCGCTATAAAGGCACGCGAATCTTCAAATATAAACTTAAAGATTCTCTGGCAGTTTTCTATTAGCTACAACTTTTGCCAACTTCATAAATGTCACGATGCATCTCTCACTTTTCAATATATATATATATATATATATATATATATATATATATATATATATATATATATATATATATATATATATATATATATATATATATATATATATATATATATATATATATATACATATATATATATTTATTTATATATATATATATATATATATATATATATATATATATATATATATATATATATATATATATATATATATATATATATGCGCTCGCACACAGGCATACATACTTAAAACAACTTTATTGGTGCGGCTGATGAAGTAGAGCTCTCGTGATATGAAGGAGAGTGTGGTCAGCACTATGGCCAGCCGCCTTCGCTTTCCCTAACATGAGTTAACTACCCATCAGAGCTGGGTGGACTCAGGGACATTATAATGACTTGAACCCGAATTCGTGACTTTCGAGTTAGCAGTATAGCTTTCTACAGCTAGGCCACGCCGTCCTATTTTATTGGTATATTGAAAGATAATTAACTTCATTGGCCAAAATACCTTAAAAATTGTGCTTATCCGTTTGTAATCAATAGAATCTACTAATCGGAACAAAGAAATATTTGTTTCTTTTTATTTGTGTTTACAGTTTTGTAACTCATACAAACATGTCATGGATAGCTGTGGTTACCTTTATTATACATGCCACAGTTCTTAATTTGATAGTGATTTGTAGTGGTTACATTTTGTTTTATTTATGGCGTTTCTTAAATTTGTTTTTGCTTGTATTTGAAGTTTCTTTGAAACTATTATTATTACAATAACCAGGGTTTTAAAATAAAATAAAAAAATACTTCACATTTTGTAAAAATAAAATGCTTCTTTTCTCACGAGCTGAAATTCAAACAGACACAAATATTTTATCTTGTATTTTCTATGGGCAACGGATATATTCTTAAATTGCAGTATTTATAAAACAAATTGTAACATTTCTTTTTTAAATTGTCAGTGTTTTATGGTTGTTGCTTTCGCTAAGAAATATTAATTTTATTTCCAAGAATGATAACAATATTTAAAAAAAAGCAACTCAACAATACTTGGAAGCAATTAAACTTATGTAATAATTAATTGTATTAAAATTTTAGTTTTTGAAAACCTTAAGAATTTATCTTGTTATTTTATGTGGATTCATTATTGTGATAGCAACAGTGGCGACGCTAGGTCGGGTGTCACCGGGTGCGGCACCTCAAGGTGTCACCCCCCCCCCCCCCCGACTATTTTACTCTGTAAATTCTGCAGCTGGTGTCCCCCCCCCCCCCCCCCGGTAAAAGTTAAAGTGTTCACATTTAATACTAATGAAGTTTATCTATAGTCGGTTGTTAATACAGCTGGGTGTAGCATTGTTTTCTCTATAGTTTGAATGTTTACGTCATGTTGTCACACCCTCCCCCCCCCTAACTCTAATTAACCATTCGATGAACTGGCTAAAACATTTATTCTATAAATCTTGAATTTTTTAACATGGTGTCACCCTCATAAATGGTGTCACCCGGTGCGGTCCGCACCCTCCGCACCCGCCCCGTGACAACTCTGGATAGCAACACACATTTAGTATGTTTTCATTTAAACCATCCATGCTTTTGTTTACTCTGTATTATATAGGACTATAAGGAGCTTATTATTGAATTAATCTAGCAAGATATGCACTTTAAAGCATCATTTTGATTTGTATATAACTAGCTATTAGAAAAGTGATAATAAGTATTACATATGCTTTTTACAAATTTAAAAATGTATAGATCTGATAATCTGTGTAATTATCTGTTATATTGGCACACTTAAGATATTATTTAACTCATATACTACTGTAGTGACCTAAGTCTAAAAAACAAATTAAAAATATTGATAAAATAAATATACATTTTTAACAGTTTCACATTCACTCTATCCGTCACAGTAGCTGGCCTTATAATCTTGTCCTGAAGAAAAAATAAACATCAAGTGCCACTAGAAAACTTGGAAATATTTCAGGGAATCAAACAATGAGGCATATAACAAGCATAGGAGTTTGGACCAAACGAAAATTTAGCCTAAACTCACAAAAAGGTATGGTTTTGGGATAAGTGCAAAGTTTGTCTTAAATTAATATTTTAGTCTCTAATCTTCATCATCTTCATCATCCTCATCTTCATCATCCTCATTCTCATCTTTATCATCATCCACATCATCATCATCATCATCATCATCATCATCATCATCATCATCATCACCATTACCATAATCTATCAACACCCATACGTACAGCCTCTGCTTATTGGATTGTTATACCTCTTTCCTTCATCTCTTTCTTATTTGATCTTCTTCATATTTCTTTTAGACTTGATTGTTTTTCTTGCCCTTTGATTTTCATTTAAGGATATTCTTGAACCAATGCGTCTGCTCTTGTTCTGAACACAAGCCCCAAACAATCTCTATCTTATATACTTGACGACTCCCACTAATGCTTTAAAATGATTGTCCTTTTTTATAAACTTTCCATGATAGTGGTATTTGTCAGGACTTTCTGGATAATTCGGAAGAACGGTTGTTCTGAAAAGCTTTTAGTTTATTAATTGTTTTTGCATTGGTCGTTTACCTACATTCCGATACAGCGACTTTTAAATTGCTTTCTTTCCAATTTCCACATATTCTGTAGAATACCAAAATATTGGCTAGTTCCCAAATTCTAATTATTTAATTCTTTGAAGCAGTCTCCATCATTTGTGACTCCAATTCCCAAATATATAAATTCCTACATTTCCTCTACTTGTTTTGTCTTTAAAATTGAGTGGTTATTTGACTTAGGCATTAAACAATCGCTGATGATATTATATATATATATATATATATATATATATATATATATATATATATATATATATATATATATATATATATATATTGTTTTATATCTGTTTTTTCCATAAGCCGTCTTTATATCCATATCACAGAAGTTTCTTTTTATATGTTTTTGATAACAATATACTGACAGTTTATTTTTGAGGTTTAAATTAAAATATTGTCTCATTAGTTAAAATACCGTTTTAATTGAAGTAATTAAGCTAAAATCATAAATTGCTAACACATATCTAAACTACATTCCACAGACTATGGGGACGACATAAAAGCTATGATCAAAGCTGGCGACGAAAAAGGCGTTGTGCAGTGGTGCAGAAAGAAGCACGATTGTGTAGACCAAACAGACAAACTGGGTAACACTCCGCTGATGTGGGCCGCGAGGGCAGGTCAAGATAAAATTGTCAAGATTTTAATAGACCATTCAGCTGATGTTAAGCTGGCCAACAACAAAGGCATCACAGCGATCATGTTTGCGCTTTTCTTCTCTCACAAAAAGTGCCTGGATGTTTTGCTTAAACAAGCAAGCGACCAACTAGACAGGGTGAGCCAGCATTGCGGCACTGCTCTGATGGTGGCTGTTTGGAAGGGAGACTGGGATTGTATGCAGATGTTGTTGAGGGCGGGGGCTGGTGGGAACATATCGAGGGGAGACGGAGCAAGCTGTCTCATGTTCGCTGTGTTAAGAAACAATCTCCAAGCTGTGAAAGAGATTATCGTGCGCGGTGTTTACTCCGACCAAGCTTACAAAAACGGGTTGACACCTCTAATGCTGGCTTCTGCTAGAGGTTATGATGATATTTTGTGGGCGCTAATGAAAAATGGAGGCGCGGAAGCGCGATTGACTGATGACGATAAACGTAACGCGTTAATGTATGCATCAAGGGCAGGTCACGTGACTTGTGTTAAACACCTCATCAAAGCCGGGTCAAAGGTTAATGACCAGGACAAGTTCGGCCTAACGGCTTTGATGTTTGCCGTCTACGAGGGACACGACAAAGTGGTGCAGGAACTGATGACAAAAAACCCCGACTTAGAAACAAGAAACGAAGACGGTGCCACTGCCTTGATCATTGCCGCTGTGAGAGGTCACGTGAAGAGTCTGGAACTTCTCGTCAACAACGGAGCCGATCTAAACGCACGTGATAAACTAGGTCAGACAGCGCTGATGTACAGCGCCATATACGGGAGACTGAAATGTGTTGAGCTACTCACTCGATTAGGAGCGGATACAGATCTGAAAAATTGTTCAGAGGAAACTGCTTTAATGCTGGCTCTACGTTTTGGAAAAGTCGACTGCGCGTTAAGTCTTATAGAAACAGCAGGTGCTGATGTTAACTTGCCTGACAAAAATGGAACGACTCCTTTGATTGAAACCGCAGCTTCGAACAACGTCGAATGTCTGATAGCGTTGATAAAAAATGAAGCGGAAGTGAATGGGTGTGATTTACAAGGTTATACCGCGTTAATGGAGGCGTCGGTTTTCGGGTATACGCAGTGTGTTCAGGTGTTGGCTCCGTGCAGTGACGTGAATAAAAGAAACGGGAGTCACGTGACAGCACTGATGCTGGCGAGTGTTTACAACCGGGGCGACTGCGTGACGTGTCTACTGGCGAACAAAGCTGAGGTGGACGCCACGGACCAAGATGGCGCCACCAGTCTTATGCTAGCCTCGGGTCAAGGTCATCTAGACAGTGTGGAGAGGTTGCAAAAAGCCGGGGCGGATGTCGAAGTGGAGGATGGTGATGGCGTCACGGCTCTGATGAGGGCGTCGATGCATGGGTACAGTCACGTGGTACGGTATCTGTTAACATCAGGGGCCGCGCCCAACCGCAAAAACGCACACGGGGTATCCGCGCTCACCTACGCTCAAGCTTACAACCACGAAGAGTGCCTACGACTGCTCACATTGGCCAGTCAGACCAAGTCACAAAAATCCGCTGCCGTCTCCACGCTGATATCGTGTGCCGGCCAAGGAGACGAGAAATCGCTGAAGGATTGTTTAAACACCGTTGATGTCAACTGGTGCAACGAGCTTGGAGAAACAGCTTTGATGCATGCGGCGGTCGCAGGCTCGGTCCAATGCCTGGATTTGTTAATACAAGCAGGCGCTAGCGTGAACCAGGCGAATCTTGACGGGCAGACAGCTTTGTTTATGGCGAATATAAAAAACAACACACGGTGCATTGAGTTGCTTTTACAACACGGAGCTGACGTCAACGTTCAAGACACGTTTGGAGTCACGGTACTCATGGACGCAGCGGGAAATGGAAATTTTGAATGTCTTAAGATGCTAATGAAGCGAGATTTGAACATAGACAGGAGAGATCATGACGGGTATACGGCTTTAATGCGAGCTGCGAGGGTAGGGGCCGCCCAGTGTGTGGAAGAGTTGCTGAAGAGTGGAGCTGATTGCACGCTATGTAACAGCGATAACATCAACGCCCGAATGATGGCTGAAAATTTTCAGCACGAAAGCTGTGTTCAAATATTTGATAAGTTAAAGGGATATGGAACACCTGTCTAAGTGTGGACGTTAGTTCGTGGAATAATGGACATTTATTTTGCTTGTGATCTAGACCATTTAATTATGGACATTTATTCTACGTGGGATCTGGAACATAGAATTATAGACATTTATTCTACGCGTGTTTTGGAACATAGAAATATGGACTTTGTTCTAATTGAGATCTAGATTATAAGATTAAGTTATTTATTTTAATTAAGTAGAGGTATAAACACATCCTGGATAGCACTAGAAAAATAATTACTGACATCACAAAAAGGACTTGTTTTAATGGGTTTTTAAAAAATGTTAACGACATACAATTTTAACATTATTTTGCCTACAGCTATATTGTACATTTACATCTCAAATACCGTAAACATGTGACCACACTCCTGATCTAAGCAAATAAGTGTTTCTGGATTTCCTTTATCTTTATGAATAGGTATAATAAATAGGTAACATAAATAGGTTTGCACTTGCTTATTTAATTTTTTTTAACGCAGTTGTTTAGATAAGTGAATTACCTAGTGTAACCTAGTGTAACCTAGTGTTACCATGATCAATGGGGATAATTTAAACCTTATGTGGGACCGCAACGGTTGATGTTATTTTTGTGCTCTTCGGTGAGCAATGTTTCCCCGTGTTTCCCATATCATGTGACCTCTGGGTATCTGTGTAGTTGCGACTGTATTGACAGGATTCAAACTCCAGGCTTCCGGTGGTCATGACAGTATGCTGCCATGGACATAGAGTAATGTATATAGAATATAGACATAATGAAGGTACAGTGATTTTATTTTATCATACTAGTGCCGCATGTTGCGGCCTACATGATGTTAAAGGCTATATGAAAATGCAATGTTGAAATTAAAGTTGTAATTGCAATTCTAAGGAAGTCTAGGAAATTGAATACGAAATTGAATACGAAATTGTAATTGTCAGCCCGTAAATACTCTACACCTCAGAGGGTGACCATCACACCTTATCCACACTGAGGCAGTGTTACACCTGGTGTTATTCACGCCAAAGCTAATTTCCAAACAGTTCCTAGAAATCTATTAGATAATTAGGCTAGTATGTTGGCCGTCTGCTACAATCTACTTTTGTTAGTGATAAGAGTATGATTATAATTATGGTTTCAAACAAATATGAAGAAATTAAAGTTTTGAAAAAAAGTGCCAATCGTAAGAATTATTTTGTTTTAATTATTTGCAACAAGGGGCTTAAAAATAATAACAGATATTATAAATCCATCGAATGTGTTTGTTTTGCTATGTCGAAGTTTCTTTTAACCACGAAGGGAAGTAATTATCGTACGTAGTACAATAAATGGGTAATATCATTGTTATCGCCCTTAAATGGTTTCATCACTAATAAAACACTTGCATTACTTTAACATGGTCCAAAGTTTCCAATTTTGCAGCTAGTGTAAAGCCAATATATATATATATATATATATATATATATATATATATATATATATATATATATATATATATATATATATATATATATATATATAATATATATATATATATATATATATATATACATATATATATATATATATATATATACATATACATATATATATATATATATATATATATATATATATATATATATATATATATATATATATATATATATATATACACACACACATATATATATGTATATATATATATATATATGTGTGTGTATATATATATATATATATGTGTGTAGCCTATAAATACAATATTTACAGGTAATATTTATCAAATATCAAAATCACTATGAAAAAATGTGCTTTGTTTGTAACTGAGATTTTTACGACGGCTGCCTGGATGGCTCTTGTTGTAGTCAATGCGCTACCACATTTTGTACATTCATAATGAATTTTTATATTCAACTCTCTTTGAATTGCATAATTTAAAAAGTGATTACCGTTCGAAAGTTATGAGAGGCATTTTTACCCTATTTTACCCATACTCTCTAGGCTAGCTTCATACCTCGTCACCGACTCCGATCTGCCCAGCCCCTAACCATTGTAAAGATGACTAAAAGTACCTGCTATTTACCAAAAAATAAAAACCTTAAGGGAATAAATTTATGTACGAATATTTTTATTTCCCTCATTGGTAGCATAACATCAGACTCTCTCCAATCCCCTAATTACATAATCTATGTACGACACCTTTTACAGTACTTGTAATTGATTGTAGTTTTTTTTTTAGAATTGTCTCATAAATTAAATATTTTGTGTATTTAAAATAACAATGGAAGCAAAATTGAAAAATAAAACTATTACAACGGTTTTTATCTTTAAATATAAAATCAGACGGTCTGTATTAAATCTTCCATCTAGTTGAGTTACTATTCTGTTAATGGATAAGGGCAAGACTCAATCCTCTTGAATATTCTAGAAAGTAGAAATAACAGCAGGCGACCGGCGCTAATCAACACACATGCGCATGCGCGTCGCGCTGACAGCGACAAGTTGGCCGCGCGCTAGACAGTGAAGAGTTCAAAGAAGAGTATCGATACGTAGGGGAATCGATGTTCTACCACCAAAGAAGGTTGGCTCGGATAGAGTTTATACCTGTGATTTTAACCGCTCGGTTTAGAAAACTGTGTTTAGGTATTTCAAAACAACACTTAGTGGAATAAAGACTAGGCTTAGCGACATAAAAAAGGCAAGTTTTGAAACTTATTTTTTAATTTGTTGTTTTTTTCTGCTGCGGGTCTTTCTCTTGTTTGTTTAGAAGTTGAAATAAGTTGTATCATGTTTAACACGGACGTTCTTATGTATTAATTGAACTTGTTTTAAGTTTTGTTGTTCTAGACAGAAAATACAAATAATTCATTTAGTGAAATAAATAATGTTTAGCTGTTTGCATGCGTGTGTAGTGTGTGTGTATGAGGGGGGGGGGGGGGAGAAGGGATAAACATCAAGTCTAGAAAACGACGAGGATTATATGTTCATGTCTGCTTCTGCCTTTGAGTACATACACGCACATGTAAAGATACAATACACGTAGGTATGCTTTCCAAATTCTTATGTGTGTATCAGAGGCGTAGCGACCCTTCCCGGCGCCCGGGGACAAACTTTCGATTTGCACCCCCCCCCCCCCTCGAACTTTCAATTTGGCGCCCCCCCCCCCTAAGGTCGGCGCCCGGGGACAGATGTCCCGCCCACCCCCCCCCCCCCTCGCTACGCCTCTGGTGTGTATGCTAGTCAAGGTTGACAGTATCCTATACTTTAACCCTTTAACTTGCATATAAAAAAAAAGTCCGGAAGAAGTGATCGTGTTATCAAAGACGATCACTATCTACTGCATGACCGGAAGTCTGATGAACCACGTGGTGCAAGAGTTCTCTAGTCATCCATTCCCCCTCCCACCCCACCATTTGCTGGTATTAGTGGGTGTTTTTTTTCCTGGCCATGCATATTTAATTGGCCACTGGGCCAGTTAGTGGCCCGAGGTAACGAGCGAGCAGGTCCGGAGTGAAGAGATAACGTCGTTAGATGCTGTCGAGACAAAAAAAAAACGTTTTTTACCTGATGTCCGGTAATTGGATTAGGGTTAAAAGGATCTGGGCATGCCGAGGAAGAAAGTCGAGGTCTCCGTGTTCTAATGGTACTCGTCGACTCTCCGTACCCAACTATGTGTATGCCTGGTCTAACGGATAGCTTAAGGGGGTCGTCCATAAATGACGTCACGCTCGTAGGGGATGACGTCACACTCGTAGGGGTGAGGGGGGGGGGTTCCGTAATTTTGTGACGGCGTTTGATGAGAGAAAGGTGGGGGGGGGTGTGTTCAGATGGTGCGACGTCAAACTTTTGCATTATAAAAGCGATGTTAGAAAACAAGTTTTAGCCGTTATTTCGCGTTTTAGAAAACTGTTTAATAAATTGTAATAGGAATTGTTTAAAATACTCAGTGTTCAGACACGATTTTGGAGCAATATCGATGCTTTTAAGAAAAATTTAACTCCAGTTTTGAGGGGGGTGGGGTAGGTGGTTGAGGTGTGACGTCATTTTAGGGTGGTGGTGGGGGGGGGGGGGGCTGGCGTTTTGTGACAATGTGTGACGGAGGGGAGGAGGGGAGGTAAAAATCGTCAAAAAAAAGCGTGATGCCATTTATGAATAACCCCTTACATTATAATCTAAACGGAATTCTAAAAATAGACCGAATCCTAGCAATATCTCTAAGGCTGACCCCTGACAACAAAAATGCTTTAACTCGATGGTGTTGAAGCACGTTTATCTACGATGCACGTTACAGATACATGGATGCAGATAATAGATAATCTAAATGGAAATTCTTGTACAGCCGCTGGTAAAGGATAATAGAAAGGGAGAGCACTTTTCTTCCCCATTATCCCTTGACCAAAAAATTAGTTTACCGAAATAGAGAAATTGTTTTTGTTAAAATTCACTAATCCTTTTGATGATTTGTCATTGACTTCTCGCGAAATTGAAACAGACAATTTGATTAGTGCGTGAGTTTTTGTGTGTTTGTGTGCATGTTAGTGTATTGATACAATGAGGTAGCTCTACAATTCAGAGGCGGAGCGAGGGGGGGGGGGGGCATATGTCCCCGGGCGCCGACCTGAGGGGGGGGGGGGGCGCCAAAATGGGTTGGAAAAACAAATTGAAAGTTAAATCAAAAGTTTTTCCCCGGGCGCCGGGAAGGGTCGCTACGCCTCTGCTACAATTTCATGTCTATTGCTGACACCCAATCCCCCCCCCCTTCCTTCTTTATATTCTATTAGAAAGTCAACTACTCTACCTTAAGATTGATATAGAATTCTCCTGTCTGTCGTATCTTTTTGCTATTTGTCATGTCCAGTGTATTAACCAACATTCTCAATAGTTTAAGAAAAATCCTTGTTATTTTAGAAAACCAAAGACTCTACCTTAAATTA